TTCCGAATAATAATATAAATAAAATAATAAAAAACTAATATAAACAAAAAAAAAAAAGTAGAAAATTATCAAACGTCTCATTTTATTTTACTTATTTATAGTCCATGCAACTAACAATTAGGCTTTTATTCACAAACAAAAAAATAATAATAATTTAGGCTTTTATGTAGACTTATCCAAAGACTGAGTGAGTTCAATTTTCGGGTAGGGTTTTGAATAAGAGATTTGAAGTTTAAATTTTATTTGACTGAAAATATTTAAAAAATAATAAAAATATTTTATTTATTTTAAAATATATATTTAAAATATTTAAATATTAGTATTTTTATTTTAATATATATTGAAAAATCGGATCCACTGGCTTGATAAATCAAACTGAATCTTGAGCAATAAATTTTCAAGACTAAATGGATTTAATCTGACTGAAGAACAAGTTTACTTTTATGACGCCGTTTGATTGAAATCATGTTGTGTTTTATGTTATAAATGGAAATAAAAAATTCACGAATGATTTATGTAATTCTTGAATATATTTATAATTTGTATTTATAATTTTCAAAAATAATAATACAAAGGAATTTGAGTTACAGAAATGACTCTTAAGTACCAAAGTTATATTACTTGTACTCGTAGCCAATTCTAAAGAAATCAACAAATATGGGGATTATTCAAAATTTTTATTGACAATCTTATTTATGATCTATATCATTGTTAGTATATGATTTATATATGAGTAAATAAGTTTATATCATTAAAAAATTTAAATGAAATATTTTATACATGTATGAAAGATTCAAGAACCTAATAACTTAAATTTTTAGGCTCAAATAATGTTCAACATATATATGAGTTATCTAGTGTGCTCTCCATGAACTCCAAGTGTAATTTATCTCCTCAACAAGTAGTATCAAAGTCAAGATTATAGTGGATTTGAGTATCAGTGGTGTTGCTGAAGGGAGATTGTTAGCAGATCGAAAGTTGGTCGCGTCTATCAACTCCATGTGCTCGAATGTCGATTTTAAAAAGTTCAATTTAGATACAATGAATTTATGATAATATGCAAAAGTGAAGTCCCAATGGTATTGCTAGAGGAAAGATTGTTAGCAGATAGAAGGTTGGTCACGTCTATCAACTCTATGTACTCAAACGTCGGTATTAAAAAGTTCGATTTGGATGTAGCGAGTTTATGATAATATGTAGAAATAAAATACTCAAGTGGACGATATGTTGAGTCAACATGGAGTGTAAGCTTGAGAAAGCACTAAGACAATAAAGACAACCAAGTTGAGTGCTGTGCCCTGACTCAAAAACGTATTAGAAATGTGAGGTTACATGACCCAAAATGAGGTATTGATAGAACTTATTTGTATGAAAAAATCAAAGTAAAACTTGATTAGAACTCACAAGTGAACAGAAGAAATTGTTAGAATATTGTTCACATGTGAGTAAAAAATTTTATATTATTAGAAAATCTGAATGAAATATCCTCTTATATATGTTTAAAGGATCTAAGAATCTAATAACTTAAATTTTTAGACTTAAGTGATGTCAACATGTATATGTGAGTTCTTTAGTGTACACCCATGAGTTCCAAATATAATTTATTTCTCCAACAATCTTATCTCATTTTAAATATCAATCATTATACATATAATTATATATTTATATACATTTTTTATAAAGAAAGTCATTTTTTAAGGATAAAAAAATAATTATAGATATTAAAAATTAAATCACAAATTAAATATATTTTTTAAAAAATAATTACATGAATTAATAGAGTTAAGTTTGAATTCACTCTTAGACATTTTTAAGCTTCAAATTATATGTATGAATATATTGAATTTTAAGTGTTTTTCTAATTTTTAAGTAAGGATATATCGCTGCAAATTATAATTAGCTTTATTTTTAAGAATTGAAATGTTAAAATATAATAATGTTAGGTAATTGGGTGACAAAAACTCGGATGTCCTTCAGGATAAAATAAATAAAGGGTGCCATCAATAGGGATGGCAATTAAGCCCGTCCCTGACGGGTTTCGGCCCGATCCGATCTTATAGGGTTGGGTTTTTTTTTTTTGAATTTTCAGTTTTGGGTTGGGGTCGGGTCGGGTAAAATTAAGTAACAATCGGGATCGATCGGGTTCGGATATACCTAAAACCCGACCCGACCCGACATTATTAAAAAATTATTTTTTAATTAATTAATTATATATATAATGATATTTTAAAATATTTATATTTAAAAAATAATATTTTATATTTTTAAAAAATAATATTTTATTAATTTTGAGTCAAATCAGATCGAATGCGATTTATATAATGTCGAATCGGATCAGATTCAGATTTAATAGAGCATAAAATCGAATCGAGTTTGAAGCGAGCTAAACCCGACTCGATGTCATCCCTAACCATCAATCATGCACTGCTAAATAATAAATAAATAAATAAAGGGAATGAAGGTTGAATTCCATGCCATGCTGATCACTGTCAAGAAAAAGACGTGGGACGAAACAAATTCATATATTTTTTTATAATTATAAATTCATACTCATAGATTATATAAACTAGAATATAATTATAATTTATAAAAAATTTTATCAAACATGTTTTATGCTTTAAATTTTTAAATCATACAAAAATTTTATGTTTTTTTTTCCAAATTATCAAAATAAAACAAAATTTGAAAAAACAAACAAAATAAAACAAAAAATTAAAAACGATACCAAAGGTCCCTTAACCATAGGTCAAAGTTATAGCTAGTATCCATCGAAGAATATTAATTAAGGACAATCTGTTATGTCTGTTGCGTGTTCTTGAAATTTCTTTGGCCAATTATTTTGGGCAGACCTTGCTGCCCTGACTTGACCAATCTCTCTCTCCGGTCCTTTGCAAGGGTTTGGCCACCTCTTAGTCCTACACCGCCGTAGTTTAAGGATTGGCTTGAGCTTTGAATTAGGATTAGCTTGAGGGTGAAATTGCAAACATGTCAATTTCAATAAATTAATTCATTGTGATAACATATATTCTCTGTCATATCCCATAATAATATTAACTTTTGTTTATTGTACTTCAATGTCATTGGATTTCATAACTGACTTTAGAATTTTGTTAATTTTCGGATATAAAATATCGAAAAAGATACAAAATTTTCATTTACATTAATCGAATATTGAATGGAATATTTAAAATTAACCAGATTGAAAATATAATACAAAATTTATCATTTACATTAACAATCACTAGAGTTGTCTAAGGGCATAAATTTTTATCTATTATCTTTCAAAAATATTTAAATTCATCAATGTTGTCAGAATTTAAAAAAAAATCAACAAATTATGTTACATCTAGGGCTGTAAACGAGCCGAGCCGAGTAGCTCGAGCTCGAGCTCGAGCTCGACTCACAACTCGGAGCTCGATACTCGGTTCGAGCTCGAACGAGTTTTATTTTTCAAGCTCGAACTCGATTTGTGATCGAATTCGAGCTACTCGAGCTCGCTCGATTAAGTTAGATTAATATATAAAAATAAGCTCGATTCGTATACTCGACAAGAGTTCGATTATTCATGCTCGAACTCGAACTCGGATTCAAAATATTTTATTAATTAAAAAAAATAAAAATATATTTAAATATATAAGCTCGATTAGGCTGACGAGCTATTCGAGTCAGATATGAGAATACTCGAATTCGGCTCGATCGATAAGTCGAGTTACTCGAGCTCGAGCTCGACTCGACAATAATCGAATCGAATTCGAATTTTTTTCGAATCGAACCCGAATAACTTACGAATACTAATGTATCATTTACACCTCTAATTACATCAACATTCATACGATATAAATTTCTACCCAAAAATCAAACGTACTCACTCTTTTTCTTTCACGTGCACATAGGCACAAAAACAGATGAGTTTTGATCATTTTATAAAAATTATGAATTCAAAAATTGAATTTTAAAGAGCGTTGATAAAAAAATTAAATATTTCACAAATATCATGATTGTACTTTGAAAATTACACAATATTTTATGTACTAAGAAATTTATTTCTTTTTAAGAAGGCTTAAATTAACGAATTTGTTTTTTTTTCCTAAAAGCCAGTCATTTTAGTTGTTGAAATCATCACATTATTCAAAACGGTACATTAATGCTTGTTACAATTTCAACATCCTCATTTAAGTATTCAAATATGTTATTTTATTTGAATATAAATACCTTTCCATGTGAAACTTTTTCTCTCCCCAACACAAACTCTTTTAGTAAATGTTTAGTTTCATATATATATATATATATTAATTTAAAATTTTTGATATTCGATAATCATTTTAAATTTCGATTAATTCAAAATCGAATCGAGTCGAACATCACAAAGAATGTAAGTTTTTTTAAATTTATTTTTTTTATTCATAAGATTTAAAATTAAAATTTTACTTAAAAATAATAAAATTTTTTATTATTCAGATCAACAATATTGATATATATATATATATATATATCCCCGTTTCAGACCGGTCAGACCCATGTGTGCCTAAAAACGGCTTGTCGTTTTTGGGTGGGCAATTTGTTTTAGTTTGACTAATTTGACCCCATAAAATGAAATTTAATTAAAAAAGGGCAGTCACGTGCAACTCATAGTACATTTTTTTTTTGTTAAGGATATGAGAAAAAGAAAAAAAAAAAAACCGATAATAAAATGTCCGTGTCGAAACACTGCTTTAACTTTGGCTGCTTCAAATTTTGCTGTAAAAACGTCATTAGCATTGCTCATGTCTGGTTAATTTTTTTAATTATTTAATTAAAAATTAATCATATATTTAATAGGATTAATGCTTGATCAATTCTCCATTACACGACAAGCTGAGAAATCAATGTAGTAATTGTTCAAAGTATTGGTAATAAAAAATTTCAGTTTTGGAGCGTGGCTGTGTGAGAGAGAAAGAGAGATAGAAAATCCTGTTTCCTGGAAGCTGCCCACAAGGCATTAGCTTTTGAATATAGGTGCTTATTGGTTACCCTGTCTTGACTTTTCAAGCAATTTTGGGACTATAAATAGCCCAAGAGGATGAGGAGGCGGAAGGAATCTTAAGCTGTGGGCTGCATTGGAAAGAGAAGGATAGAGTTGGGAGTCTGAGAATTGATTTAATAATTCAGAGTACAGCTTGAAAGTCCTGTGCTTATTGAATTGACAGAAAAATGGTGAGAGCTCCTTGCTGTGATAAGATGGGAATGAAAAAGGGTCCATGGACACCTGAAGAAGATCAGATTTTAATCTCCTACATTCAAAAAAATGGCCATGCAAATTGGCGTGCGTTACCAAAGCAAGCTGGTAATTTCCACAAATCTGATCTCTGGGTTTCTTTTCCATTACATGTTTATGTAGGATGATAAAGATCAAGGTGACTCTGCATTTTCATGGTTGATCTGATTTTTTTTCTTCTTTAACTTGTTTACTGTATAGGTCTGTTAAGATGCGGGAAGAGTTGCAGATTACGATGGGTAAACTACTTAAAGCCTGATATTAAGAGGGGAAACTTCACTTCGGAAGAAGAGGAAACTATCTTTAAGCTCCATGAAATGTTAGGGAATAGGTATGTAAATCAAAAACCATTACTATTTTCATACAATCCTACTCAACATTTACAATTATGTTAGAAATTATATGCTCAAATGGGAGTTTAACATAATCTGTTCATGTAGTTATTATTAGGAGATATCATTCAATAAATCCAAAATTCAAATTCTCGTATTTACAATAATCCATTCCTCTGTCGGCCTCATTTGTAAAAAAAAAAAAAAAGGAAAGCTGTAAAAACACTTTTTTAGCCTATTCCTTCTTAATATGTGGGATGGGACATGGGAGATTTAATTTAGAAAGAAGTCTACATGAAAATTGCATATATAAATATTTTCTTATGAACTTTCAGGTGGTCAGCAATTGCAGCAAAATTACCCGGAAGGACAGACAATGAGATAAAAAATGTGTGGCATACTCACTTGAAGAAGAGACTTAAACAATACCAGACAAAACCAGTCACCAAACACAATCCTAAGTCCAAATCCAAAATCAAATGTGAGTCGTCCGACAATATTAGCACAAGCCAATTAGAATCTGGACACTCAAGTTCCAGTACTACAGGCAACATTCCATCAAGAACTGAAATTCCAGAGCAGACCCCGATGTCACCTCAGCCATCATCAAGTGAAGTTTCCTCCATTACTGATGTCAACATAGCTACAACTGATCGGGAAGTGAACAACATGGATATCAAGGCTGAAAACATGGAGTACTCCTGGGAATGTTTTCCTGAAATTGATGAAAGTTTCTGGTCAGATGCACCGTCCTCGGATAATTCTAGTGCATTACCATTAAATTTTGAAGGAGTCCCTGATGAGTTCCAATCTCAAGTTCCTTCAAGTTCAATTGATCATGCCATGGAACCTGACCATGGATATGTTCAAAATCTTGATGATGCGATGGAGTTCTGGTACGACCTGTTCATTAGAGCTGGAGGTGAACAAGATTTAATTACAGAATTCTAGTAATTCTTTAATTGGAGTGGCGTTTACTGTTTCCCGTGTTTGACTAAAACCAGACAGTACTTATCCAAGGTAGGGACAAAAAACCTTTCCACGGTTCAAAAGTAAGAATCGCCTCATTGACCAAGAAACTAAAAACCAAGTCTTCATAGGAAGCGTACTAATCATTCAGAAGGAAAATTATTCCCTTGGAGACTCGGTGTGGTAAGGGGCCAAACAGGAGAATAAAGAGGAAAGAGAAAAGATTGACATAGAAACAGTTCTGTATAGGAATTTGGCTTGGAGTACAAGTAGATGCTTACTTCAAAAATCAACAAGTTCAGCTCATTGGGCCAATATAAATTATAGACTGATGATGATAAAATTTTCTAATTTAATTATAATACATGATATGTTTATGTATTTACAAATCTTAAATTATGTGCTTATAATAAAGTTGATCATCATTCATCGATTATACAATTGCATGTTTGAAATTATTCATATTGATCAATGATTTTGGTTTAACTATTTTTCTTGCAAATATTTTTCTCACAAATCAAATTTTAATTGAATAAGCTAGCTTCTTGGTTCTCACTAAGTCAACTTCCAGCAATTAATATATTGAATTATTATGTAACCCTGGAATAGACTGCTAATCACTTTCATGATATATACTTGGTGGTATCATGAAGGATACTATAAAACCTGTCACCATTGTAATGTGATTAGCAGAGGAGAAAAGTTCAAATATGTTTTGATTTTTTTCATTTGTCATATGTAATCTATAAAAGTTGAAAGTTAAACAAAGTTTTGATTTTCAGCTTATCTAATGTGAATCACCCAATTATATATAATTATTGAGATTTACATGTAAATATTCATCCACGTCATTATGTCAATGAATATATGTACATTGAATATCCGCGTATACTTCATAACTTGAACCTACGGTTTAATCAATTGATTTGTGTAACTACTTTTAAGAAGTGACATTCAATAGATTAAGGTTCAAATCTTAACACTTTTAACTCCTAACTTCTATTCCCAAATTGAGATCTCTTTTATATACAAAAAAAAACCCTCGGCAACTTAAAGATTTTTTTTGTTTATAGGTAGCTGTAATTTAAAAATAAAAAAAATGGTTGCAATGTTGAAATTTAAACTCCAGACATAACATTTCTTAAAGATAAATGCATGAACCAATTGAACTAAACTTTAGATACAGTAACTTAAAATTTTGAGATCTTTTACAAGTGCTTCTTGAAATGTTCAAAAATTTCTTCTCATCCCAGTATTTAACTAAATGGTTTGGTACATATCCTCTTCTCAAAGAACATGATTCGAACCCCTTCTGCCCCAAATCGAGGTCTCTTCCCAATATTGATATGTTGATAGCAGGAAGCCTTAGTTCCCGTTATGGTATCAGTTTCCATATCCATAACTACCAACTAATTCCGGGGATGTATGTGGTTGAGTTTAAGAAACAAAGAAAGGAACAAACAGAAACAATAGAAATGTGTTCGGACAAGGCCTTTAAAAAGAAAAGTGATAGGGATAAAACACTGGAACAGTTTTGCTTTTTTTTTGGAGATTAAGAGAAGTTTCTGAGAATAATCCATCCTCTATCGAGTCTATGTTAAAGGTAGTGCAGTCATTTTCGTCGAAATTGCCTCTTGCCTCTTTTTCTTTTCATCAATCCATAAAATCACGTTTCTACAAGAAATTTGAGACATCATCGTTTGATTTTTTTTATATTTAAAATTATCATAATTTAAATATTGATCACTTAAACTAAAAATTCAAAATTTTACCAATAGGTTTGACGATTACTTTGGCCCTAGGACATCCAAGATATTGTGCAAAATACTGTACCTTTTTTACTTTTCTAATGACAAGAAAGACTTTATACTTTATCACTTTAGTTAGTCTTTGTGATGAAGAAACAAACCCATTTATAGATATTTTTAATTCAAATTTCAAATCCTTTTTTAGCTGTGCTATCATCACACATTTAATTAACATTGTATGAACACTAGTAAAGTAAAAAAAATAGAAAATTCTAGTCAATATAAATGGTGTTCATTTCAAGTACTCAAAACTTGACATAAGATTTGCTCATCTGCCTCTCTCTGCCAAAGTCATTGGAGAAATTTCTAATTCTTTGCTAATACTTTGTCTTTTACTTCAAATTTTCTAGAGCTTAAGGTGATATTTGCCTCGATTCCCATCTTTTTTATCCATCATCTGTCATCTTCGTGGAATAAATATTGTTTTGTATTTATGATACAAAGTTTTTAACTTTTTTGTGTCTAGTAGTCTTGCTATGATCAATGTCGCAATTTCATACGATTTAGAGGTCACTAATGACGTGAGGAAAAAGTTTTAGTGATTTGATAACCTTGACTTCTCTGGTAAAACCCATAGATGAGAAAAATGTGTATTGGCATTTGTTAATGATATTTTAGTAATATTCTCATATTATTTTAGATTGATGATATTATTCTAGTAATATTATAGTAATATTTTAGACTAATTTGATATTGATTTAGAGAATATTAGATATTGATTTAGATATTGATTAAGTGATTATAAAAATTGATTTAGTCATTATTTTTATTTATTTTATTTTTTATTTTATAACAATTTTATCTTTGTATAAATAAGCTTTAAGTTTTATTGTAAAATACAAGTCAATAGAATAAAGTTTTCATCATTTTCTCCTTTTTCATGGTACTAGAGCTATTTCCTGGTTCATTTCAAAGGTGAATCACCTTGGAATAACTAATATTTGTTTATTCTCATCCTTGGTTTTATTCTCTTTTCTTTACTTCATTTTTTGCTTAGGTGCTTCAATTTTTTGGGCTTCTCTTCCCATCTTCAATATTCATATTTTATATCAATACTTATAATTTCTCAAATCTTTATTTTTTTTTTTCAAGAGCTTTTATAGAATTGATACCTGAGGAAACTCAATTGGGTATGAGTTGGACTTATAGTGTTGATACTGTTGTTGTTGTTGCTCTTCAGAAAAGTACTAACTCTACTTTTCACAAGTCTTGTTCACAATGTAGGAGGACTAATTATCCTGTTTAGAAATATAAAGCTAAATATCATTATAACGGTAGTCTAATTCATGATCCTCGCGTTAACAAGATTGTTGCGGTAGTAACCATTGAACCAAACACTTATGAGTCTTCTTCTGAGACAATTACAATCTCCACAACTAATCTTTAAACTTTGTTCAATCAAGTATTATCTTGATCTCCTACTCCTGCCATGTCTGTTGCCACATCAGGTAATGTTTAATTGTTTGATACTAATTGTGAAAATAATATGACTACTGACCCTTTCTTGTTAAAAAACAAGATACATGTACCTAATAGTCCAATCATTAAAACAGCAAATGGATCTATCTTAAAAGCTAGCCACATTGATAATATTGAAACCTTAAAACTATGTATATCTAACACTTACCTTATTCCTAATCTTGTCTTAAATTTGTTTTCTGTTGGCCAACTTTGTAACCTTGGTTTTGATTTGCATTTTTCATAATGATACGGTTGTACTGTGCAGGATCCTCAAACATGTTAGAAAGTTAGGATAAGGCATAAAGTTGAAATACTGTTTGAGCTTGAAACTTTGAAAATTTCATAACATTTGCTTACGATTGCTACATTTCAAACAATCAACTCTTAAGGTTTTTTAGATTTATGGCATTCTAGGCTAGGACATGCATTTATTTCTCGAATAAAGTCACTTGCTTCCACTGATATCTTAAGTAATATTTCTCATGATATTTTTTATTGTTTGTTTTGTCAACTTGAAAAGTAAAGTGCTTTACCTTTTAATAAAAGTGATTCTATCTCATCTACTTCTTTTGATTTAGTACATTATGATATTTAGGGTCAGCTCTAACACCAACCTTAGGAGATTCAAGTTACTTTGTTATATTTATTGATGATTTTTCTTGTTATACTTGGATATATTTATTTAAACAAAGAACAAAACTTTTATCCATTTTTTGTGAATTCAATAATATGATACAAACTTAATTTTTTAGAAAAATAAAAAAATTTCAAGTTTGATAATGCTACCGAATATATATAAATTGAGTTTTGTAACTTGTTAAAAGATGATGGGACTCTTTCTCATAGGTTTTGCCCATATACTTCACAATAAAATGATTGAGCAGAAAGAAAACATTGTTATATTCTTGACACAATTCGTGCCCTTTTCATTTACTCTTCCTTTCATGAATATTTTTGAGGTGAAGCTGCTGTCCCTACTGTTTACACTATTAATCATGTTCCTACACTATGATTAGGCACACAATCTCCCTATGAGTGTCTATATAATAAGGTACTTGATTATCATTCTCTCAAAGTTTTTAAATGTGCTTGCTTTGTTCTGCTTTCTATTCATCAAAGGATTAAACTTGAACCTAGAGTTAGATTATGTTGTTTTTTGGGTTATGGTATAGAACACAAAAGGTATAAGTATTATGATCGAATGTCTAAACGTCTTCGCATCTCAAGACATGTAGTTTTTTGGGAACATAAAAAGTTTACTAGTGTGTCTTTATTACATTCACCATGTTTTTCTCCATGTATTTTTATAGATTCATCTTTTGATTTTCAAATGAAGAGACTATTATAAGTACTTTTAACTCAAACAGTGATAAATTTTCTCACTCTTACTATATCTAATCTTACTAAAGCTCTTATTGATACAATTGTCCCTTCCTCATTCATACCTCTTTCACTTCATTGTTTTATCCGGGTAAAGGAATCCAATACTTAATTTTATGATTTTTACTGTTATTATGCTTTAGCCACGTTACATGAACCTCATAATTTTCATAAAGCTGTCTCTAATCCTATGTGATAGCAAGCAATGACAGAAGAACTTCAGACTCTTAAGAAAACTTATACTTAGGATATTACTGAATGACATTATGATAAGTCAGTGATTAATTATAAGTGGATTTATAAGATTAAGATTAGATCTAATGGGTCAGTGGAATGTTACAAAGCTCGTGTTTTTGCTTGAGGATTTATACAAGAATATGACATTGACTATGAAGAGACTTTTACTCCAGTTGCACGTCTCATATCTGTTCATTCACTATTAGCTATTACTGTAGCTAAAAAGTGGCCAACTTTTCAAATAGATGTTAAAAATGCCTTTTTAAATGGTGATTTCACCGAAAAAATCTATATGAAGTCACTTCCTGGTTCATCTGTACCTTCCAACATGGTCTGTCATCTTCGACATGCTTTATATAGTCTTAAGCAAGCCCTTAGAGCTTGGTTATCAAAATTTATTACCACTATTACACAACTTAATTTTACATCTAGTAATCATGATTCTACCATTTTTACTCCAACTACTTAAAATGGTATTACTCTTTTCTTATTTTATATTGATGACATGATTATCACGAGTAATGATACAAATGGTATTTAAGAGCTGAAAACTTTTATTCATTCTAAGTTTGAGATGAAAAACCTTGGTCTTTTGAGTTATTTTTTGGGCTTTAAAGTCACTAATGATTCTACTGGTTTACATTTATCTCAAACAAAGCATGCTTCTGATCTTATTACTCAAGCAAATTTAACTGATAGCAAGATTGCATCATCATCACTTGAACAAAATTTGAAGCTTTCTCTTTCTAATAGTATACCACTTTCAGACCCTTCTTTGTATCAAACTCTGATGGATAGTCTCGTATATTTGACAGTTACTCATCTAAATGTTGCCTATGTTGTTTATCTGGTTAGTCAATCTCTGTCTGCTCTTTGATTTACTCATTTTGTTGCTGTCCTCTAGATCCTACGATATGTCAAGGGTACTATGTTCTATGGTTTGCATTTTTCCTCTAGTTCCTCTTTGGACTTACATTATTATTATGATAATAATTGGGAAGGAAATCCTATTGATCATCGTTTCACCACAGGCTACTATTTCTTTCTTAGTTCTTCTCTTATTTCTTGATGAAGTAAAAAACAAATTGTGGTATCCCGTTCTAGCACTAAAGCTAAGTATCGAGCTCTTGCAGATGCCACATTAGAACTTTTATAGTTACAATGGCTACTTCAAGATATGAGTGTTTCTCATCACTCTATTACTTTTATATTTTGCGACAATCAAAGTGTAATTTAGATAGCTCACAATGATGTTTTTCATAAGCGTACTAAACATATTGAATTGATTGTTACTTCATTTGTCACCATATGCTTGTTCAAACTCTTCGACTTATTCCTATTACCAATGTTGATTAAAAAACAGATATCTTTACCAAATAACATCCACCTGGTCAATTTCTTGTTGAAGTTTTCAAACTCAAGTTGGCATCTACATTATCATCTTAAGTTTGCGAAAGGAGGTGTCAATGATATTATAGTAATATTCTAATAATATTCTAGATAGATGATATTATTCTAGTAATGTTCCAGTAATGTTCTAGATTAATTTGATATTGATTTAGAAAATATTATATAGTGATTTAGATATTGATTAGGTGATTATAGGAATTGATTTAGTCATTATCTTTATTTATTGTATTTTCTATTTTATAACAGTTTATCTCTATATAAATAAGCTTTAAGCCCCATTATAAAATACAAGTCAATATAATAAAGTTTTCATCATTTTCTTCTTTTCCAGCATTAAGCTCAAGTAATTAATACCAATACGCATTGATAGAAAAGATGGAGTTGATGACATAGTAAAAACAAGAAAAAAAAATAAAAGTATTATCCCTTGTTGTATAATTAAGCTATTGTTTAAAAAAAGCAAAGAAAAGATGAAACAATCTCTTGACAATATCTTTTGTATGTTGTCAAAATAATTATGCAATGAACTAAAATGAAATTGAAAATTTTAGGTATATATCTTTGGTTATGATTGATGATATAGAAGTTGGGAGATCAATTTTTCCTTTCCATGGTGTTTCATTTACTATAAATAGAAAATTTGAGATCTTATGGTCAAAGTCTTTGGTGCACGAGTGAAGTGGTAGAAGGATGAAAAAGAAAATTTTCACTATTTCTTGTCGTATGAGAATTAAAGGGAAAAAAAAAAAATCTTGACATGAATGTGTTTTTAATTTTTTTCAAGATAATTATGTAATGAGCTGAAGAAGAGAAGTTGAAGTTATGCATCTTCTATCAAGACTGATGAAGAATTGTGGGATAAGTTTTTTTTTCTACTACTACTAAATTTTTTTTGACCTTTTGGTTTTGTAAAGTCAAAATTTTTATTGATTTTTAAAGTTTATATTATATATTTTTATATATTGTTAATATATAAATTTTATATTATGTTATATACTATTAATAAATCACATAATACTAATGATCAAACATAATTTTTTAATAATCCTTAAGATAAGTATACAAAAACTTAATTTTTTTTAAAAAATTTTTATTAATGAAATGATATCATCTGATTCATTAATAGTGTATAAAATTTATATATTGATAATACATCAAATAAAAACTCTTATTTTTATTTTTAATTAATAAAAATGTCTCTTTATTTATTTCTTTTATCTAAGAATTTGTGGTTTATTTTTAATAAAGTTGAGTATTTCATTTTTTTAATCTATTAAAAATATACAAAAATATTATAAAATAATTTTTTTAATATTTTACATCACTTCCTCGTAAAATTTGCCAAATACTATTTTAATTTCTCCTTATAACAGTATTAAAACAGCTCGACTCCAAATATTACTTTTTATAAAAGCTTCAGTTGAATCAAACAAACCCTTTACTCTTTATCTTATACTTTGTATTTTCCTATGCAATCTTAGGTAGTGCTTTGCTAACTGGTTTTGCTTGTTTTCCTTTTTTTTTTTTTTTTTTTTTTTCTAATTTGAATGAATGAATTTTTATTCATAAAAAGAAGAAAATAATTGTAAAAGCAAAATTTAAAACACATTTTAATATCCTTAAATAAATTCCAGGAAGCTTTCTTTTTTTTTTTCTTCCCATTACTTGTTATCTTATTATTATTATTATTATTATTACTTTTTCTCCTTTCTATACATGCATGAAGAAGTAAAGATAACTATTATCATGGTAGACCACAAAAAAAAAAAAAAGAAAGAAAAATGATACATGGTATATTTCCACAAAATTGATTACTTGATTGAAGTGGGAAAAGACAGAATGCATCCGATGTTCATAGTCCAATCTCCTCAGGTAAGTTGGAGGGTTTTTTCCATTCTTTTTCCACACGCTTCAGCAAGTTTTACTAAGAGTTTAGTCCATTTCATTAACTATAAAAAAATTTGTCAAAATTCAGATATGAGCTAACATGGAAAAAGATGAGAGCATATCAAATCAAATTTCTAGCACATTCGAGAGGAGGACTGAATTTTCATTTAATCATTTAAAATTGCGACCAGATCTTCATTGAAATACGAAAATTCCCAAAAATTATAATAAACATAAAACTATGAAAATTTCTATTGAGTTTTATTATTGTTTTGACAAAAACAAAATCACAATCTGAAATTAGAAAGACGGATTTAAAAATATTAAAATTTGAACTCTAATTTATTGGATACCATTTCTTGAAAATATCTGCATAATTTAACTTAACTAAACCCAAAATTCATTCCGTTCTTATTTTTGAACTATCTGATCTTGAAATAAAGGCACGTTTGATTTCAATCTTAAAATTTCCGGCAGCCATAAATGACTGAACAATGAAGGTGGTAGTTCTTAGTTTTTACAGTGCTTAATTATCATTTGGTTTAACAGCGAAAAAGCCCAATATGCCTTCATCCCTCCATAATGTGCCAGTAGGGAATGTTAAACAATCAGCCAGTGTGGACAAGAATCTCAACATCTTAACGTTACAGGTAAGCCAAATTAAGAATATATCAAAACAATTTGGATGCCGTTCAACATTTTTTTTTTTTTAATAAGAGAGCATTTGAATAAACCATTACTGAATCGAGCATTCTTTTGGTTGCTTTTGGTTCCGTTTCAGCGCCTAGGTAGTGCATCGTCACCTTGACAGATCTCATACACCTTGACAATGGCTTAAACGGACAACTTTACATACCTTAATGATCCAGAAAGCATCTGCTAAATCCATCAATTTAACTAGCAAGCCAACATGGATAAGAAATCTTTATTCCATTGCTCGGCATTTTGCAACCTTTCTTACCTTTAACATCGATCGATATGATCACAACTTCCCTGGTTGAAAATTTGCAACTATAGCTCTCAAAATATTCTTATCCCTGAAAATATAACATAATAATGAAGCATATGCCCATAATCGGCAGGCTATGTCAAAGGAAAACCAAATGTTCAATGCAGTCTAGGAATTGTTACTAAAACACCACGAGAAAACTCCAGATATTCGAAGTAACCAGGCACATTAGACGTGACCAAAATCACGACTTTAATATGGACGACAACAGTCTTCCTTATCCGTTTAAAATTGAAGCTAAAATCCGGGATTAGTAATAAAAACCCCAAATCCCCACAGCAACATGTGAAATGATGTAAGATCCAGGGAGGCAGCTTCCCCATCATTAACAGTTCATCTAGATTTTAAAAAGGCTTTTATTCAAAACTGCAGCTACCCTAACTAAGGCAAGCCACTCGTCTTTCAAACACACTAAAGAAATGATGAATGCATTCATGAGAGGCAGGAGTATGCTAATTCCTTCTCCTCACTGAGCTCTGCTCCAGTCAAGTCCAACTTCTTCCTTGAGAATTCATCAATAGCTAGCCCTGAGACCAAAAAAAAAAAAAAAAAAGAACAGAAAAAAGTGATTAAAATGTTCTAATTAGAATATTCCTGAAGAAAGGGCTGCAATGGGCAAGAGAGAACTGCTGATCCACATTGGTACCAGAACTTATCCAAACTTCCTAAGAAAATAGATGCAGAGATTAAATAGCATAACTACAATATGATTTCAACTAAAGGGGACAAATCAACTAAAAGGGACAATACTTCAGCAACAAGTGAAGTAATGACATATGCTTTTGGAAAATTAAGAAAAGGGAAACAACTTTTTCTTCCCTTTGGGGGTTCAAAAGGTGTTGGAGGGAAGGGTAGGGAAAGTAGGTGAGGCACAGAGGAAGTGAGTCCGATGATTAAAAGGATCAATATCTAGTTATTCTTATTGGTTAAACCATGCTAACATAAGACAACCAACAATTAAGACAATAAAATGGGATCATATTTAGCTGTATTCTTACCTTGGACAATTTTCCAGTCTCCATTGTGACAAGTTACAGGGAAGGAATAAATAAGCCCAGATGGTACATTGTATGAACCATCAGAGTACACCCCCATGGAAACCCATGTGCCCTACGGGTGCAACCAAATGAGAAAAAAAAATTGAGATCGTGACTATATTAAATATCATTAAAAATAACACATTAACAACATTGCCAACCTCTGGAGTTCCAAGGACCCAATCACGAATGTGATCACAAGCTGCACTAGCAGCAGATAGTGCACTTGAGAGTTTCCTAGCTTTGATGATTGCAGCACCACGTTGTTGAACAGTGGTTATGAATTCTCCATTCAACCTTTATTGAGAATAATATCAAAACAATGCTTCAAAAATCTCAGTTCAAATAAATCTATTTCATTAGATAATCATTTATTTTACTATTTTCTTTACCATCCATCATCCTTCACAAGCTCACGAACAGGCTTTTCCCCAGATGGAGTCTTAACACTTGCATGATTGACATCAGGATACTGAGTTGATGAATGATTACCCCAAATAATCGCATTTTTAACATCAGAAACTTGGACATTTAGTCTCTCTGAAATTTGACCTAATGCCCTGTTATGATCCAGCCTTGTCAAGCAGGTAATGTTCTTTGCAGGGATTGAGGGTGCAAATTCCTTCAGGATCAATGCATTGGTGTTGGCAGGGTTAGCAACAACCAGAACCTGAAACAAACAGAAAGAACATGAGAGCAGAAGAGGGAAAACAGTTCATGAAATCTTAATCTATAAACTTAGTAACTTTTGAGGGCCCTAAAAGCAGATAAGGTCAAAGGGAACGTGAAACCTTAATCTATAAACTTAGCAACTTTTGAGGGCCATCGACGATTATATAAATGTCATTGCATAATGGAGAGAATGCAAATTCATTTTATTGAAACAATTTTAAGATGTTACAAAAACATTTGATTGTCCACTCTTGCCCAATCAGTAACAAATAAAGCTTCAGAATTTCAACAAATTATTTTGCCCTCATCTATATTGGTGGAAAAGAACAGCGTTTTAACAATATTCATATATTTTATGCAAGAAAAGTAAAAGTTGAAAATGCAAACTGAAATATTTCATTTCATCGGTTATCAAAAAGCTAGAACTTTCATGTTGACACATTTTCTCACCTTGCAGTTAGGAGCTGCATGCTGTTCCAAGGCGGAAGCCTGGGACTTGTAAATTGACACATTCTTTGACATAACATCTTTCCTTTCCATTCCTTCCTTCCTTGGGAAACCACCAACCATAACTGCAACGTTGACTCCAGTGCAAGCCTCAACAACATCAGTTGTAGCAACAACACCTGACAAAAAGAATAGGTTAGATCCCATAACCATACATCATTTTCATACAAATTTGGAAAATAGAATCCATAACCATAATACACCTCAACATCATTCATACTTTGTCAATAAACATATATACCTTTTAGAAGAGGGAACGCTGCATCCACCAACTCCATTTTGACTCCATTCAAAGCCTCTGCTGCAGGAGGGATATCAAGCATGTGAAGGATCACAGGCTGGTCAGAACCCAACATGACTCCCCTAGCAATCATTGGTACAAGAGCATACCCAATTTGTCCTGCGAACACAACCACAACATTTATCCAACAAATCTTTTGGGGAAAAAAAATGCAAAGCAGTAAGTCTGAGCTTCGAGCACGAATCAAAAACGCATATTCCGTTACCGACTATGGAGGAAATAGAGTATACTTTTTTAATTTATTTATGATCGTAGCAAATCAATATATTCATTTTTCAAACTAGCATGAAATTAAAAAAATTTCAAAATTTCAAAACACAACTTCCATCATTTAACAAATAAACTTTCATAAATACTAGTTGAGCTACTAAGCTTAGATTTTTCATGGCGGATTAAAATACTTTTCACTAAAATCCTAACCCTAGATCAATTATTTCTAAATCCAAACAATAACCAGTCCAATCTAAACATCCGAAATGAAACAGTTGAAGTCTAGTTCATGATTCACAAGATCTGAAAACAGAGATCGGATTCATCCAATGAAAATAACTAGATCTGACGATTAGGTTTGAGCTAAGAAATGTCAAGGATCTGATTGCGGGAATACAACAGTACCTGCAGCTCCAGTAACAAGAACGCGAACTAGTTCCTTTGCCATTGATGATCGAAGAAGAACAAAAACGATGTCGTGGGCGAGAGTTGAGTTAGAGAGTGAGCTGAAGACTTGGAGTCGAGATAGAGACAACAGAGCAGGAAACGCTAGTAATAGGAGATATTTATGTGCCAGGGAAATGGTGATAAAATCAAGGGCCGTATCTGAGATTTGAAAACTGTTTGAGACGCCGTCGTTTTGGAGGTTAGAGAATATATGCCGTCCAGATGCGGACAACAATATGTGGAGCCAAATGTCGTATGGGAAGTGGGCCACCTGACGACGAGTATCATGCTTGATGGAAGGTCAGCTCTCTGAATTTAATTTCAAAAAAAATTAAAGTACGTTTCAACAAAAAGTTTGTTAGGCCAAAATTATTGCCACAAATGTCAAATACTCAACCAGATATTTTTTGAAATTATTTTTGTTAATTCAAATTTTAAATTTTATATAATGTGTTAAAATATTAAATTTTAAATCACAATGATTCAATTTTCTATAGATTCAAATATCAAAAGAAAATTTTAATTTTTTTCATATGAAAAGGTTTGGAGATGAGAAATACTGAATAGTTAAAAAAAAAAATCAAATGGGAAATGTTTAATATGAAATATTAAAATTTTTTATATGAAAATAATACAATTTTTTTTAAGAAAAAAAGAAATATGATTTACTATTTTCTTTTTTTTACCACTTTCCTTTTTAAATAAACTTCAAATCAAATACTTAATTTGAAAATTTGAAAGTATGGAAACATTTTCCAACATTATTTTTTTAATCAAATCTGTTTGTTGAGTGCTAAATTTTTCTAACAATTTCAAATTAAAAAAAAAAAAAATTAAAGTTTCAAGGCTTTGGGCTAAAATTACTACGCTTCAAAGCCAGGCTTACTTGTAAAGACCACGCCCAGTGGGAAATTCGTCATCAAATTATGGGCTATTCCAGGTTTGGACTCCAATTTACTTGCCTAAACTTGGCTTCGATGCTTCTAGAGTGAAGCTTATTTTTATCAAATATTGTTTTAAATCTTTAACTTATGTAATTTCATATCTTTATATTTAAACATTTTATTTTTTATTTATTATATTATTAAATGTTATGTTATATTATATATAAGTTTGGATGTGAATAAAACAATATAAAACAAATTTTTTTAGTGGATGCAAAAATCGAATCGGAGCACCCAATGTGAGGAGGTTACTGTAAAACTTAAAAGCCTCATTCGGGTTCGGGTTGGAAATCGAATCGGTTTTTGTCCAATATTGGTTTATTATATATAAAAATTATAAATAGTGGGGATATAGCAGTATCAATAATCAATTATTAAAAGGGAAAACCGGCTAATCCATCACCCTTTTCTTCGATTTGGGTACCCTGGGCGCCAAATCAACAACACTTACCCGATTGAATTGGTGAAATTTGATCTCCAAATCCTTAATTTCCGCTGAGATTTTCTTGATTCGACCATGGCGACTGCATCAGGTACATTCTATATTCCCTCCCCCCAATTTCATCTTTCTGTTTCTTTCGATACCAAAAAAAAAAAAAGAGAGACCTTTACTTATAAATTTTATTGGGAATTTCAGTGGCATTTAAATCGAGGGAGGATCACCGGAAGCAACTAGAATTAGAAGAAGCTCGAAAAGCGGGGCTTGCACCGGCTGAAGTCGATGAAGATGGAAAAGAAATTAACCCTCATATTCCCCAGTATATGTCTTCAGCACCTTGGTATCTTAATGCTGAGAGACCGAGTTTAAAGCATCAAAGGAAATGGAAATCCGATCCCAATTACACCAAATCTTGGTACGATAGAGGTGCAAAGATATTTCAGGCAGATAAATATCGAAAAGGAGCCTGTGAAAAGTAAGTAAACCTTCTGTTTCTTCGTTCCTTTATGGTACTCCTTACCTGGTCGCCTATCTATGGATGCCTTGTTTTGCGTGTTAATGGTGCTTTTAGATTATAGACCCAAGTATACGTGCAAATTCTTTCTTTATTGCGCGTTTGATTGATATTAACAATTTGGTGTAAGAAGGAATTAGAATTCTGACTGATAGAGATGGATTCTTGGCTAATGTGAACCTAAAATTGTTGGTACAAATCTAGTGCAGTATAATTTGGTACCTTTTATTATTTCTTTGAAATTTCCTCTTTACTCTACAAGAATAGGGTCACATTTTTAAAGCTGTCCATTTAATAGCTTTGTGTTAACTATAGATTTGGAAGCCTTCAAATAGATGTTTAGTTATCCCACTTATTTAATTTCTCCTGTATTAGTCTCCTGTATTAGTCTATTTATTAATGATTAAATTTGTCAAGGTGCTGAGATGAAATGCATTTGTACATGTTTAATACCTAACTGGATAGGGCAAGATTCCAGTGATCAGACTTTTCACTGCCCCATCAGGCATTAGCGGGGTTGTGTTAACTAGATAAAAATTCCTATATTTTCTTTCAAACACAAAGGTTCAATTTTAGCCATACATCATTGGAGGAAGCTTATTAATTGATCAGGTTGAAAGTCGGAGCTTAACTCTGTAGCCTATGCCCTCTATGATTGTTATATGGTAATGAATAGTTTAGATGACCATACTTGTTTCTTTTACCCGTGCCCTTATACTGCAAACTCTGATTACTCCATAGTTCATAATTGATGAATTCTACTTCTTTTTATAGCTGTGGAGCAATGACACATGATGCAAAGTCATGCATGGAGAGGCCTCGTAGAAAGGGGGCAAAATGGACAAACATGCACATTGCACCTGATGAAAAGATAGAGACCTTTGAACTGGATTATGAAGGCAAGCGGGATCGATGGAATGGTTATGACGCATCTACATATGCTCGTGTCATTGAAAGGTATGAGGCAAGGGATGAGGCTAGAAGGAAGTATCTGAAAGAACAGCAACTGAAAAAGTTAGAGCAGAAAAATAATAAAAATGAGGGAGAGGGAGAGGGAGAGGGAGAGGGAGAGGGAGAGGTTAGTGATGAAGATGATGAAGATGATGAAGATGATGCTCTGAAGGTTGATGAAGCTAAGGTTGATGAGAGCAAACAAATGGACTTTGCTAAGGTGGAGAAGCGTGTACGTACCACTGGTGGAGGGAGCACGGGTACTGTCAGGTATATCTATTATACCAACCCTTAGCTGTATCTATTTTTTTACTTATGTTGGTTTTTAAGGAACAAAATTTCTTCTCTGCAAATATAAAACAATTATTCTTCATATTTGCCTTTTTCTTTTAGGAATTTGCGTATTCGAGAAGACACAGCAAAATATCTTTTGAATCTTGATGTCAATTCTGCCTATTATGATCCCAAAACTCGAGCTATGCGTGAAGATCCTCTTCCTGATGCTGACCCTAATGAGAAGTTTTATGAAGTGAGTATAGTGCAAAAATTTTTTCCTTTAATTTCTTTTGTATTTATGTGCCTTAAAGTTAATTAAATTATGCAATTCTGACTGGTTCATTTGTTACTTTGCAGGGTGATAATCAATATAGAATGAGTGGGCAAGCTTTGGAGTTTAAGCATCTCAATATTCATGCATGGGAAGCATTTGATAAAGGTCAAGATATTCATATGCAGGCTGCTCCATCTCAAGCTGAACTCCTCTTCAGGAATTATAAGGTCATCAAAGAGAAGTTGAAATCAAAGACCAAAGATACCATCATGGAAAAGTATGGCAATGCAGCAACAGAAGAAGAGATGCCAATGGAGCTTCTTTTGGGACAAAGTGAGAGGCAGGTTGAATATGATCGAGCTGGCAGAGTTATAAAGGGAATGGTATGTATGAAACTAACTTTCTGCTTATTCTAGTTAGTTCTTGGTTTTCCCTTTCTGTTGTTTCATTCGTAAGGATTTCTTATATATAATTCCAATATCTTCACATATGCCGATGTTGATTGCCTCATCTTTTCTCTGCTCTGTCAAGGAAAAAATTCAAAATACCTACATTAAACATTTGGTGTCAACTGTTTTGGTCTTTTGCATTTCTTGCTAAAGGGTTCGTGATTTCTTTACACACCTGGTAATGCTAGGATTGCAGGCCAATAGATGACAACTGTATTGAGTGGTTAAGAGCTTTAAAAGTGAGAGATTTCTGGAAAATATTGGGAATACATGTCACTCTTGGTCTGGTGTTCATCTTCTTTCCATGATTAAAGTTATACAGAGTTTTGTTTCTGACTTGTCTGAAATAAGATTTTCAAGTGTAATGAAAACTATTAAGTGCTTCTATCTAGGTTTATCAAGTTGTATGAGAGTACTATTTTAGTTCTAATTTATGTTTTATTTTAAAAAAACTCTTTATTGAAAATTGAGTGCTTTCTAACGGTTCTATATTTTCATTTCTCCCTTCAAACTTTTTCTGTAGGAAACATCCCTTCCAAAAAGCAAGTATGAAGAAGATGTTTTCATCAATAACCACACAAGTGTTTGGGGTTCATGGTGGAAGGATCACCAATGGGGCTACAAATGTTGTAAGCAAATAATTCGAAACAGTTACTGTACTGGTGCTGCCGGGATTGAGGCTGCAGAAGCAGCAACAGACTTGATGAAGGCTAATATTGCACGTAAAGCATCCTCGGAAGGTGGGTTCTTCATAGTGTTTGCATGGATACTTCAAATTAATGCTTCAAGTTCAAGTCAAACTCATTCTTCTAGTGAAATGGTCTTTAAATTCATATCATATTATTGTTGCAAGTAATTTGGTTTACGTAAGTTCATCTAATAGAAGTTTAGATGGTGTCTAAATTCATCTAATAGAAGTCTAAATGGTGTTGCTAGCTTCTATCTTGTATCCCTGAAATTTAAGGAATTTGCTGTTTTATAGAACCATGATTTTCACTCTGAGTTTAGCACTTTCCTTGTTTTCAATCTTTGTATCTCTATTCTGATCAGATTGCCAACTTGAATGCAGATGCCCCTGCTCCTGCAGAGGAGAAGAAACTTGCTACTTGGGGAACTGAGGTTCCTGAGGACCTGGTTCTTGATGAAAAACTTCTCACTGAGGCTCTTAAGAAGGTAAATTTAGTGTATAATGTTACTTCTTTCCAATTGTGTACCCAAAAAAGACCTGAGCTTATTTTTATGCATGTTTTATCTGACAGGAAGATGAGAGGAGGAGAGAGGAGAAAGATGAAAGAAAGCGCAAGTATAATGTCAGATGGAATGACGAGGTAATGGTTTATTATCAAGCTAAATTCTCTAGATGTTCAGTACGTCTTTCAATTAAACATTTGTAGGGTTATTTTGTCATGTTACTAAATCATGTGATGCCTTTTGTAGGTTACTGCTGAGGAAATGGAGGCATATAGGATGAAAAAGATTCACCACGATGACCCCATGAAGGATTTCTTAAATTGAAAGCCAACTTAGATCCGCTGATAAGTGTAGAAAAAACAACATGGATAATGCTTCGTCATTGAGTTGTGATGAAAAATCATGTGTTTAATGTTTTGTTTGTATAATACAAGGTATTGCATAAGATTTCAATGACAAATATAGTCAGGTTTCTCATAAATCATGACCTACGATTTCCTTTGGCAGTGCAACCATTTAAAATTTTCAAGCTTTACTTTTGGTACGAATTACTCTGTAATGGGATCCTCACAACAAAAAGTTAATGTCTCAGCGGTTTAGAGTGTTAGCTTTAGGATCGAAGATTTATGCTCTCTCTCCAGTTTTTATCAAAAGCAAATTTAAACTACGTTGTTTTCATTATTGCATTGAGGAGAACGAAGCACGAAGCTTGTGAAAGGCATATGATTTGAATGCTGAAGAAAAAAATAGATGAAGTTCCATTTATTTATAAGCAAATGCACAATCAAAATATTTCATTGTATAATCCCCAAAGAGAAAATTAAGGGGAAATATCAAACTGTATATGTAGAAAGAAAAAGAACACAATCTGTACAAGACATCCCCTGTATATGTAGAAAGAAACGGAACACAATCTGCGCACAAACTTCACACAATTTTAATCCTAACCATACAAAGATCAAAACCCTTTTCTATAAAACAGAAACTCTGTTCACAGTTCACTCGTAAAATAAAGGGAAGGAAAAAAAGGATAACCAAAACCTGCAAAGCTCCAATATATATAGCTTTCATGTTTTGCATTTTAAAAACAACAAAACATGACAGCTAAAGATAATGAAAATGGATTGATCATGCACTTCGGGCCAACATCTCCTGGAAATCAAGATCACTTCTTTCTTTCTCAAGCTTCCTGTCTTCATGAAACTTGTTTATAAACTCATCTGCTCTTTCATCTACTCCCCTTAGATGGGGTGATTTCGCAACAATAGCCTTCCATGCATCTTCAATACTATAAATACTGCTCTCTTTTTCTTCTTCTTCTACTTCTACTTCTTTGCCTTTCCTTCGCAAAGCCTTGTCATCAGCCACTTCATTTCGTCTGCTTGTCTCAGCCTTTGGTTCGACATGTTTTGCTTGCATTGACATAGGTTCTGAATAGAGCTGGTCAATATATATAACTTCACGGTTCTTGAGCAGGCTTTGGTAGTGTTTGTAATGGTAGAGGTGGTTGTAGTTATACCGGCCAGGGCCGTTGGAGGAATACTTAGAAAGGAAGCGTTTCTTGAAGGGTGCAATGAGACGGATTGAGCAGAATTCAAGGAGACGATAAGTTGCTGCTTTGATCGAATTTCGGACGTGGAAATTGTGTAGTTTTGACTTGAGTTTTTTTGTGAAGCTGTTCCAGGCCTTTCTGGCTGGTTTCAGCCTCTTTGCCAGGTTCAAAGGAGGCATCAGATTGTTTAGTTTTGTATAAGAACTATGGCTTGTTTGAAAGCTGAGACTGACTCAGTTTTTGAAGTTGAAAGAAGATTTATACCGAAGACTTGCACAGGTAAGCAATCGATATTCTATGGAAGATCTTTGGTTCTCCTTTCTTCTAAATATTTTTTCTCGTTTGGGTGGCCTGAAATGCTCTTTCTTTTGCTTTATATTTGCTGGAATGCCACTTTTCAAATGTGGGAGCCAAAGAAATTGAGTTGGGGTAGGTTTCTTTAGAATGGCATAGCAGCAATTGTAGCAAAAAATGGATGCATTTTCTTGGTTAAGCAGTCTAACTTTCGGCAAACTAAGAGGCCAGACTTGGGCCGCAATCTTGGGTCCCAAGTTTTCGTGAATGTTGGTTGAAAGCAACATCTTTTAAAACCGCACTAATTCTCTTCTTGTTTAGTGGAATCCCACCTTTAATTTCGATGGTTTTGTGGGCTCCAGTTTCCGTGGAGTAATAGGTAATGACTTTATCTTTTCTATAATCTCTTCCAATTTTACTCGAGCAAGGTATGAAACTGGATATATGGATGTAAACACTAGTTTTCAAGAAATTCTTCCTTAGCTAATATTTTATCAGATATGATTTTTGCATAGTTATTGAAAATTAAATATCGATTAAAAATGAATTTTGATCATTCTGACATTTGGAAATAGAGTTATAAAAAAGTTTAACTAGAGCTAACTGATCCAATTTTTGAAGTTTCCCCTGGTGGAAGCAACATGATACCTTGTTTGATTTGATAATCATTGGTAAACCTTTTCTAATTCATGGTCAAAAAAGGCAAGATTGTTTAATCAGAGGGTTTGAAAAAGTTATTAGCATTTTCCACTAGCCATTCTTCATTTTTTTAACCACTAATGCAAACGATTAAGAGTAAAAGATTTCCATAATCATCTTTGCTGCCGTAAGCGATTAATCAACTCCCCTCTGCTATGAACTGCCTGATATTTTTTTAATAGCACTACGCCAATAATTCACAATTAGATAAGGTAATGGATAACACAATATAGATATTCTGCTTGGACTACGAATTTAATTTACAACTATTAACTTATATTGAATTTACATATTGTCCGTTGATAGTAAAAATTCAAATTAAGTCTTGGAAACAAAACTTTTTAGGACATTTGATGGGATAGATAAGCTCCTGCTTTTTTTTTTGAATGACCATTGCAAACTTAGGTTAGTAAGTTTATTCATTTATAATTAAATAAAATGACCCACAATTGGTAGTTGTTGATCCAAATTCAAAATACCCATTATAGGTTAGCTCCTCTTAGGTTCAGCTCTGTACTCAAGTAGCCGGCATTCAAGCAACATCTGTTTTCCACTGATATGAAATAATGGAGTACTGAAGTTTAGAAAATGGCACCCTAAAATTATAGGCACAGCCAATTTTTTGATGTTAACCGAGGCTTGACAAAGTCCTTCCAGGTCCACACCACGTGTGATGTCTGCTGTGCTAATTTCATTTCTTTGTTTATAAATGGCTAGGGAACGTAGACTTGCCTTTCCAACTTGTAAAGATTGCTAATAACTTGTCGCTTTTGCAAAGGAAAAGGCAAATAACACTGGTTCTCTTTCAAGCTTTGCTTTACAGCTCATAGAAAAATCTGACCCGTTTCCCTCATTTTCCTTCCGGGATTGGAAATCCATCCTGTTTAATCCTTTCTCCACAAAAATGTAGGTGATTTTATTTGATAATTACCTTTGAGATTATTTGATCCTTCAATTTTAACTTTTTTTTTCGATTAATCAAATGGTAATCTACACAAGAGGGACAATTTTCTTCTAGAAAAGGTGAAGACTGACATTTAGAACATTAATCGAAATGATAAAACATGAAAAGCCATCAAACACATACGACATTGGTACCTCTATTTTTTTGTAACTAGTGTATACCACAACCTAGGAAAATAAAATTAGTCATTTACCTTATGTTTGGTACGAGGGAAAGAGAAAAGAAGGACAGAAAAACAATTTTTTTTCTCTCGTTTCTTCATTTTATTTCCTTTCTTTTCTATCAAATGTAACGTTATCCTTCTAAGTCTTCGTTATCAGTAGAAAAAACCAATTAGAATTTGTTGATTTGGTATAGGATTTATTAGATATTTATGTTGTATGGCAGTAGGAGTGTAGGAGAAACATGTTCTTGCAATTACATATTCTCAAAAAAAAAAAAAAAAAAGCCACAAATTTTCAGTTCGAAAGCCCATAATGATCCCTTACTACAAGTTTCTATTGCAAATCAATGAGGCTATTATGGGTTGGACTTTGAGCAGAAAATTCATTGCTGAAATAGTGGTCTAAAGTTGAGTTTAGATTGATAGTCATAACTCTAGCCTTCTCAAATTATGCCTTTTTTTTTTTTCATTTGCAAATAATTAATAAGAAAGGGAGATCCCTTTTTAAAATTGTACAAGATGGCATTTATTTGTATTGAGGTGAAAAAAAAAAGAAAAAAAATTAAAAATTGATTTGAAATGTAATATATGATTTAATTTGGATTGATTTTTTTATTTAATTTAGATTAAATTTGAATATTAAATATATATATATATTAAATTATAATTGAATTTCAAATTAAAACGTAAAAATTGAAAAAAAAATCTAACCGAATTTAATTATATATTTTTTATAATTTTTATATATCTTTTAAATTTTTATAAAATAAAAATAATAATTTTATATTAAAATTTACTTAAATATATTAAAATTTTAAAACAATAAAAAATAACACATAACAAGTAATAAATTTATCACATGTCAATATGCTATTTTTTAGAGATAGTTTTTATATATAAGATATAGATTTGAATTTTAAAGCAAAATTATTCGAAAATCAGAGAATAATAGAAAGATTGAAATCGTGGGGAAAAGATACGATCAGGTAGCAGTGCAGGCTACGGATATAACAATAATAATAGGGAGTAGGCCCGTAGGTTGATATCATAAGTTTCAGGCGTTTTGAACTTTGGGATGCAAGGCATACTATTATTGGAATAAATATTCGAACTTTACTCAAAAATAAAAATAAATCATTATTTTTTTTTTTTTTTTTTATAAGAAGGCAAAGCCAAAACGTGACATGATTTCGGAAGCTAGAGAAGAAAATGTGAGTAAATTCACATTGTTAAAATAACATTCTCTGTAATATTTTTTTCATCCAATTCATCTTAAATTTTAAATATATTCTATTAATTATATTTATTGGACTAAAAGCTTTCAATTCAATCACACCAACGAAAGCGAAATCAAATAATAAATCAAACACACAAAAAATAATAATTTAACGTGATTCGATCCAATCAACCTATGTCCACAGATAAAAAACAAAATCTACTAGTTATAGAAAATTACAAACATACATCAAATCATCAACTTCATTCAACAATCAATACTCATAAGACATTCTCAATCTCCTCTAGTCCTATGGAGTATTCTTAACCAAAACAAACATAAATCCAAACCCTTGTGTACCCTTTCAACATAACTAAACACATACCCATATGCTCTCATACATCATACTTATGTAGACCCTCTCAGTCTCTTCTAGTCCACTCACAAACAAACATACACATCCATAAGACGTAAAATCACAATACTTATATGAGATGTCTATCCCATAAAACCCTATAACTCTCTTACATCTTTTTCTTATACCTAATCCTGTAGAGACTTCACATATTTATAACTATACAAACTTGTCCATTAAGAATCCCTCTCCTCTTAAAATTTTTTTTTTATAAGTTAAACTTGTCTATTAAGAATTTTTTTTCTTTTAGAATTATTTTCTTGCAAGTCAAACTTACTTATTAAGAATCACATTTCTCTTAGAATCTTCTTTTGCAAGTTTTCTTATCCATCAAGCAATATCTGACAAATCTCAAACAAATCTCAAACAAATCTCAAATAAATCTCTTATGAGATTTGAGTCAATATTCCCAACAACATTATCTAACTAGTAACAATTTACAAAATATTAAATATTTTATATAGTCAAAGTTTTTAATCATATATAATAATAAAAAATTCATAACTTTAATTTTATATAATAAATGATCAAAAACTTATTTCACGTGGGGTAAAGTTCAAGAGTTTAATTATATATTATTCTTATAAAAAAAAAACAAAATTAAAGATATGCTATAAAGTGGTGAAAATTTAATTTTAAATAATTATATATATTTGATCAAATCTAACTTTATTTAAATAATTCTTAAGATCTAATTTGATTTTATTTTAAAAATCAATAACTTAAACTTGACATGCCTAAGTTTGAATTATCCGAATTTAAATAATTCAAATTAAATAAATCATCTTAGATAATTAAACTTGAAATAATTTAAATCTAAATAATTTAAATTCAGAAAATAATCTAAATTTTTTTAAAATCAAAATATTTGGCTCAAAGTAGCTCAATCCGACCCACCTTTTTGCCAACTCTATCTCGCTTTGGTAGTGAAAGTTGTGTTCGATGATCTAAAACAAAAAGAGAAAATGTTAGTTTAGCATTACTATTACCAATTGAAAAAAGTTTGAATTGAGAAAAGTAAGTTTAAAAGTATGATAAGAAAATTGTGGTTAGAAACGTTTAAAAGAATGATAAGAAATATGTGGTTAGAAATTGTAAGTATTTGGTATTGCGTGAGAAAAAATGTGATAAGTAATTGAAATGTTTAGAAAGATATGTATAAAATAAAAAAATATTTGAAATATGGGAAAAATATAGTATTTTTTTAATCCAAAAAAATTTTTTTACCACAAAAATAACTCTCCAGAAATTTTTTTGTTTGGGTTTACAAATCATATTTTTAAATTAAAAAATCATTTTTTATTATTTAAATAAAAAACAACTTTTAAATTAAAAAAGAACAAACCGTATTATCTTCATTACTTCATATAATTAGCAGCTAGAAATTAACGAAATATGGAGATGAGATTTTACTCTAGGGAGAGATAGTGCTGTAATAATGCTTTTGTTTAATCTATTAAAAGTTGCACGAATTAATACAGGCTACAAGTACTGAAGTAAACCTGTGTTCATGCCTTAGTAGGCCTTAGGTAATTCCAGATTTTAACATCTGGTTTTCCTGTTCTCACTATTGTATAATCATATATTCTCAATCCTAGGATGTAGATTCCTTCAACCTCTTTGCCTCTTCCTTAGAGATTTCATATGAATACCTTAGCACATCCTCCGGTATGGTTCGTATAGCTGAGACATATCAGGCAATGTGGCTAGTTCTGCTGATATTCTCAAGTGGTTTAGCGTTTTTGATGAAACCTACAAACTCTAATCCATGGCTTCCTGCTTTCTGCACGATTGAGACGTTCTTTGGTATGGTTAGAATCTGACCCTCCTCAACCAGCTTGTTGAATACTGTCTCCACTCTCGCCGATGATTTGGATACGGCCATTGCCTTTGGTGATGTACATTATGATGGATTCATTGAGGGTCATATCAGATACATGAATTGCGTTCTGCATATGTTAGACAATAATTATCATTGACCAAAATCTATTTTTCTCTTGAATTTTTATATTTGATTTACATTGTGGATGACTCCACTCACAGCGCTGAGTTGGATAGACTAAAGAATTGGTAGGTTGAGGCTGTTGATGTTGGTCAAATTCCACCACGGTAGTGAATAGCTTCAGCAAACGAAGGATCAGTCTGGTGCTTTAGCTTCATCGAAAGGCAACTTTCTTCTGAGACATGTGGTTTCCCTTGCTTTACTAGTTCTCTTTCCTGCTCTTCCCCGTCTTCTTCTTCTTCTTCAAACTGCCACAGTTCCATTTTCAACTCAGGTGGACGTATGACTCGAACAATGTTTCCCCTACAATCATTTTCAATCTGCAACTTCTTTGCAAGCTTGTGGTCAATTCCAACAGACGCTGCCAAGACCTCTTCATCTAAACTGCTTGGGAAACTTTTTTTTCACTGCTCTGGCTTTCATGCTCGCTATTCTGCCCTTGATGATTCCCGGCAAGATAAAACCTCTGAATGCTAAAAATATTAACTAGAATGATCAATATCTCAACATGAATATGGTTGTAGTTTTAATCGGTTCTTACCTTGAACTTTTGTTTTGATTGGTCGGCGATTGAGACTGCAACGAACTCAGATTCACCATCGTTCTGAGTCCAGGCTATTGTTCCCGCTGGCATGGCATAGATATCACCCGCCTGGAGTCGATCAACGAGTTCAAGTTTCGGATGATGCTTGCCCCTTTGTTGTTTATATTGGGACTGTGATTCAGCTTTTTGTTTATCAGCACAACTTGGGAAAATCGTCCCCAAAATGGTTCCCTGCATTGATCACAATTCGCAACAAAATAAAACCATTAACATGTTAGAACCTAGAATTTTGAGCATGGTAGCAATGTAAATAGTCTAATTACCGTTTACGAGCCTTGAACCACATAGAATAGCTTGGGAACATTGTCGAATGAAGGCAAGGCGAGGCCTTTGCTGCGGACTGTATAGCGGTGAGCAGCAACGCCAACACAGTGCAATTGTTCATTATCCGGGTCCCAGGACTCGGTATAACCGGCCTCTGATATGATCCTATCTTTGGGTTCTAAAGCTTGCAAGTGTTTGATTTGGCATTCATGAGCAAAGCAGCCATGGAAGAGGAAATGAAACCAAAGGTTAAGAGAGAGTAAATAAGAGAGGCAGCCATGAAAATTCAATGCTTGACTTGTGACATTAAAGAGAGGAACGGGGATAGTATTTGTAGAAGAAATATGATGAGAAAAAAAGGTTTGGGATGTGGTGAAATGGATTGCTTTTATTGCTTATGATTTGTAGAATCGTCTTTATACATTGCCAAAAAATCTAATAATAATGCTATATTAATGAGAATGATATGATATATATATAGTGTTAATCACATTTAGAATTTTTTTGTGTAATAGTCGAGTTAGTGATTTGCATTACCCTGCTCAATTAATATAAAAGGAAATTTAATTTATGATGTAATAATTAGAGGCTTAACAATAATTAAATTTTTTGGATTCCATTATGCATATTTTATTTTATTAAAGTTTTATTATTATTATTATTATTACCAATGGTTAAAGATGTTTATAAATAAGATCAAACTCAATTAACAGCTTAAAATACTTACTCTAGGTCTGACTCCATTAAAACCAATTTAATTTAAATTTTATTTTAAAATATTAAAAAATATATTATATTTTAATAATTTTAAATGCATATTTAATCTATGTTTATTTTCATCTAATTTAGTACATTTATAAAATTTTAATTTTTTAAAGTCTTTCAATAAATTCAAACTCAAAAAAAAAAAAACAAAACAGCAAACTCTTTTTGTTATTTGAGTTAATTTCTATTGTCATAGATATTTGATTGTATCTCATGTATACTTGAGTTTATTAATAAAATATAAAATAAATTTTTTTAAAATGTTGATTTTTGTGCCATGATTTAATTTAATCGACAAATAAAATTAATCAAAATAGTTTCCTCGTAAAAATTAAAAGAGTACCAATACGCAAAAATCTAATCAATAATGTTGAATGATAAAAATTTTATTTGGTATTACTTTCTTTGTTCCATTTTCTTTATCCATATTTCTTTTTTGAAATATCTTTAAATTATATCTTATTTCTTTTCTTGAATATGTAAAACTTTTTTTATATTTTAAAATTATATATTAATTTTTTTTTAATTTTTTGACATTAAAAATCATGAAACTTTAGTTTTATAAAAAAATTAAAATTTAATATTAAATACATTAAAATTAAAATATTTTTCTTAAACTTTATGAATGTCAATACATAACAACATTTAAAGGACGAGGACATACTTTTTAATGATAAAATACTTCTTTAAATCAAGTGTATTAATTCTATATACTTAAAAGCTATTTAACCTCTATGTGATACCATGGCCATTTCATTCATGGTTTGTTTAGGGAGTTGAGCTTATATACGGCAATAACATTTTTTAATTTTTATTTTATTTAAGATAAGAAGACTTCTTACACTATTTAGATTTGAAAAAATTAAATTGGTTATTACTATTAAAAAAAAAGTTTGCTACACTTTGAAGTCTAGTGTAGTTATAGGCTAAAATTAGTTTGTAAGTTAAATAGGGAAGTGAATTATAGAAATTGAGATTTGGAATTCTAAATTTATTAATTATTATTTTTTATAATTGTTTATATGAATTAGAGTGTTCATGAGTTGAATTACACTGGTTAATGTTTAATATTAATAGTTTATATGTTTGTCTAGTATGATTCGATTCGAAATTTTGAGCCTCAAAATTTTTTGAAATTCGATCCAAATTAAAAAAATATTAATTCTCAATCTCACCTACTAAATTTAATTTATATAATAAAAATTTTAAAAAATATGACTAAATTAAATTTAATAGGATTATATTCAATTCACATATATATAAATTAAAAATAAAAATTAAGTTTAATCAAATATATATAATTTTTATTTTTAATTTATATATATATGAATTAATTTATATATAAATCACGTATATATAAAAATAAAAAAATTTTATATATAAATTCGGGTCGAATCATATTCAAATTTTAAATCTTTTGTTTAAAATAAGATTCAAAATTTAAACGAGCCTAAAATTTATACTAATACCCGTTTAACGATTTTTAATTTTTTATTTAAACTATTTCTAAATTTAAATGGACCTTTAAGTTTGAACGAGTAACTCAACTCTTAAACAAATTTAATATGAACCAACTAAGTTATCCTTCAATTTTATTTATTTTTTTTTCTTAATTATACATAGAGCTTGTATTGTTTAGTTTTTTTTTTTTTTTCTCATATTTTAATACTTTCTTAATAAAATTGACATAACTTATTCAAATCTTAAAAACTCATTTAACCTACTCGAACTTAAATACAATCTAATTTGATTTAAAATTCGTATAATCCGTCCGAACTCATTTAGAGAAACCTAAACAAATTTGAAGGTGAAACTTAAACTAGGCATTTGGTAAAGCTAGTATTTGAAAAAAAAAAAAAGGAAATTAATTTATGGAATAAAAGAAGAGGAGATTGTTTTTCTGATTATATGTATGCACCGTAAAAGAATTTTGGATAATTGTTGACGATCACTAATAGTAACTTATTATTACAACAATATTTTTATAAATTTCATTAATTAGTAGAATATAATTCCTTGAGAATGTGATTTTTTTTTTTATTTCAAGAACGACAAAATCCTATTACAGTAAAAAAAAAAAGAAGAGATTTGATTCGAAATCAAGTTTTGATATCTTTTTAAAAATTTAGATGATTATTAAATCATGAAGCGAAAGATAATACAATAATCTTGATAACCATGGTTATTTTCGAAGGCAAAAAGATGGTTTCCAAACTCAAATGCTATTAATTTTATTACCAAACAAAATATAAAATTAATGATATTATAGAATCTTAAAATTAAAAATGAAATTATTTTAGTATAATAATATTATTTTTTATATTTAAAATTGTAAAATTTAAATTTTACTCGTTAAAATTAAAAATATAACATTTTTACGAATAAATTTTGTTAATATAATAATATTATTTTAAAAAATTTAAGATTTAAAATAAATAACAAAAAAATTTGCAAATATTAAGAATAAAAACTTCCATAAAATCTACTTTGAGCGAAAACAAGGATTTTATAGGGTTTTATTTGTTCATGGGTAATTAATTAATTTTAGGTTATATTTGATATATAGCATGATAGATAAAATAATATGATAATTATTTTATATTATATTTAACTTATTTAAAGGGATATGATTATAAAGAAAATTATAATTTTTTTAATATAATATGATTCAATCTTCTCAAAATAAAAAAAAAAAATTTTTAATTTATTAGATTAAATTTATATATATTATTATATTTTTTAAAAATTATATCAATAATTTTAATTATATAAATTTTTAAAAAATAATTTTAATTAATAAATAAATTATTCTACCTGTCAAATTGGGCTCTTTGATCCATGTTTTTCTTATTCGGAGAATGGAGACTGGCGATAATAAAAAAGTAAATAAAAAAAATAATTTCTACTTAAAACTGAACTAACAGTTAACGTTTGGATAAGGGCGCCACTTAATTCAAGCTTCATGAAGATGGCCTCCCCTTCGACGTTCTCTTCAGCTCCCCCTTTTCCGTGCTGCAACAACAACAAAATTTCCAGTGTTCCCTATTTTGCCTTCCTTAACCCTTCACGCCACGCAGTTCAACGTTTATCCAACGCTAAAAGAAAGCAACTTTGGCTCAGGAGGAGCTGTTTCAAGCCACCAATCATTGCCAAAGTTGCCCAAAAAACCGCCTTGCAGTATAGGAAGCTTGGTGACTCTGATCTTCAAATCAGTGAAATCACTTTGGGAACTGTAAGAGCATTGTTTTCTTGTTAATGGGTATTTCCTATTTTATTCAAAGAATTGTTTTTTCCTCTTATTTTGTTGGTTTTGAATTGTTGGTCTTTTGTTTGTTTGAAAGTAAATAATGTGAATAGAATAGTATTTTTCTTATTCCTATAAAGATTTAGCATTTGCAAGTATAAATGTACGAAAATGGTTCCCTGCATTTTATTTCAGTAGCCAAAGAATGGCCCTTGTTGATTTGTGAAATTTGAATTAAGGGATGCTTAAAAAATGGCCTTCTTTTGTTTTCTTTTCTTATTATAGCATATTCTCGGTTCTAATTCTCTGAAGCCATGTTATTATCTTTAATTTATGCATGCTTTTATTGGTTGCTTTAGATGACATTCGGAGAACAAAATACAGAGAAGGAAGCTCATGAAATGCTTAGTTATGCTTTTGAACATGGCATCAATGCTCTTGACACTGCAGAGGCTGTAAGTTCTTTTGCATGTAGAAATGTAACAAAAGCAAACAGACACAATTCATAATGAATTGAGATGATGCACAAACACATTCACATGGAGTGCATTCTTCAATGCTGTTAAATTTTCATCTGCAACATCTCACCTCTCTTCTTTTGTTCAAGAAATTGCAGAAAAACATTTCAGGAGATCTCTTTTATTGTCAACTGTAGTGTCATGTGTGATTACATGGGCTATATGTGAAATACTCTTTAAATATTTTGAAGATTTAATTTGATGTAGTTGGTGTGCCTACATTGTGCTATATTTTTTCTAAAGCAAGTCTTAGAGTGAGTTATCTTAGATATCTTTACCCAAGTTGCTGTGACATTAACGTCTCTTTCTCTCGCTTTCGATTTCTCAGTACCCAATTCCCATGCGGAAAGAGACAAATGGAAGAACAGATCTCTACATTGCTAGCTGGCTGAATTCTCAGCCCCGTGATAAGGTACTTTTTGCATAATAGATGACTTACAGATATAGGTATTCCTGCTTTATTTTTTGGTTAACAAATTTTTTTCTCATTAAGAAAAAAAAAGGAGAAAGATAGAGAAGAGGCTGAGTGATATAGTATCTTTTCCTATGTCTTTTAGGATATCTATGATGGATTTTAATGAAAATTTTAAATCTTCCGCGTCAACTTCTTTAGCTGCTCAAAAGGTAGTAATATATGTCATTCCAAATGCTTCTCCAAGAAGCTGTTATTACAAAGGGCGAGATAGGATCCGATTTACAGCTAAACCTTGTTAAGAGGATAATATTTGAATTTAACCTGGTAATATGTTATTTGAAATAGAATGTGATAGAATATTGAAAATATGTCCTACATAATGGTGCTTGAAATGGATTTTCCTTTAAATTCTGTGCAAAAGGTGTACCAGCAACAATTGGACTCCTGAATGGTATTATTGTTCATTGATTTCTTGGTGAACATTTTTAAAATTTTCCAGATCAGCAAACATTCAAAATACTCTGGCCTGATGTGTCCCTAATGAATCACTCAATGAGTGTTCATAAATACATGTTTATGCTTTCTAGTGACTTACATATTTTACCTCACCTATGTTGGTTATTTTTTTTCTCAGCTTTAGTAATTGATTTATGGGTATTGGTTTCTATGTGCATATTTGCTGAATTTTTTAACATTGTCTGAGAAGATGATGGTGCAAGGTATTGCTTACTGAAGGCTGAATATATTGCATTCTTTCCGATTGTGTTTTATTATGATCCCTCATTATTTACAGGTTATTTTGGCAACAAAAGTAAGTGGCTATACAGAGCGGTCAACTTATCTGCGTGACAATGCCAAAGTTTTACGGGTTGATGCTGCTAATATTAGAGAAAGTGTGGAAAAAAGTCTTAAGCGCCTCAACACTGATTACATTGATTTATTGCAAATTCATTGGTAAGATTGCAGGTTTTTTTTTTTTTAACAGCATCAATTATAGTAGGTTCTCTGTTTTTTTTTTAAAACCTTACATCATTTTTCACCTTTATATCTTTTGGAAACGCTAAAGGGCAAAAAACATGCTTCTCATCTCATATAACCCCCAATACTGGGCGAAGCCACAAATCAGGATTTAGTTTTGGGTTTATAGGTGACAATTTGGAATATAATGTATTTAGTTGGTGTGATAGTAGGCATTTACTGACTTTGCATTACACCTTGTCTTATCTCTGCATAGCTTCTTGATTTCCTTTTCCTTGTGAATTGATTCATGTCTACATTTTTGTCTTCCATTTTCTCCAACAACAAGCGGGAGCAATATAATTATATAAGCTGTGTGTTTCTCTGACTGAACATCTAGTCAAACTTTCTCTAATTTATGTTTTTCTGAGGTTAATATTCTTTTTCAACATTCAATCAGGCCAGATCGCTATGTACCATTGTTTGGTGAGTATTTCTATAATCCTTCAAAATGGAGACCAAGCATACCATTTGTGGAGCAACTCAAGGCTTTTCAAGAACTTATTGACGAAGGAAAGGTAATGCTTGTCCTAAACTAAGTTGGACATATAGTTCAATCTTCTTTGAGCTGACTATTTCTTGTGATAGAAAATAGCATTGAAGCTACTCAGAATGCTGCTAAAAAATCGATTAGATTTTGTGTTCTAAAAATCAAAATCTAACTTTTTAGTGAATATAAATTGATAGGTGCTTTTTCCCTGCTAGAAAATAGGAGTATTTGGGTGTCTGGATATGCTTGGTACCTGGAAGAAGATCAATAAACTTCACAAGCATGGCATAGTGAAATATTTGATTATTTGTCTTATATAAACATTTAGTTGCTTGACGATGTCACAAATACTTTATGATTGGTATGGATGCTTTTCAATTGTAGGTACGCTATATCGGAGTTTCCAATGAGACTTCATATGGAGTGATGGAATTTGTTCATGCAGCAAGAGTTGAAGGACTACCAAAGATCGTTAGTGTCCAAAACAGCTACAGTTTGCTGGTTAGGCATTTTGAGGGTAAAGCTAATCCTGAAATTAGATAAATGAAAATCTAAAAGGAATGTAAAATACCTAGCTTATATTTTTCTTTAGATAGAAATTCCAACTTAAAATGACAGTTTTCAGCTATCTACAACCGCTTGACATCTTGCTGCATGGTTTTACTCTTGTTCCCTGAAGTTTTGATTCATATGCAACGACCAACAAATTAAACACCCTGGAATCGATTCTCTGCTTAGCAGCCCTGTTCTTATCCCATAGAGGTCCCTTTGATGTTAGGATTATACTATTCACCAATAGAAGGAGATATACCTATATGCAAGTGCTTAATATGAAGGGTTGGGGCAGGGCCTATATCATTTACAATTACTGTAGTACAATTAACCAATTATAATTCAGCATTGTTTGGGGTCCGTAAAAAAATTATGTAGAGCCCACATTTTTAAGCATTGGACTCTTAACATAATTCTTTGTTATGATTGGCTAATTGCAGGATTGTAGTAAAGAGAATTGTAGATAAAATGTTCCTATTGGGGCAAGGCTAAAGGAATTTTTCCATGATTTATTGAATGGGTTGAAATCCTTAAGCAGACTCTGAGAAATAAGCTAGGAAATTTCCTGGCAACCATAATCATTTAATTTCCCAAGTTTGATGTTTTTATTTTTGTCCAAGTCTGCTTACCGTCCCTGACAGAGCCCTTCTATCATTTTCCACATGTTTAAGAAATTGTTAACTTTGTGCTTTGCAGTTGACCTGGTTGAAGTTTGCCATCCAAACAATTGCAATATTGGCTTACTTTCATATTCTCCACTCGGCGGTGGATCACTTAGTGGAAAATACTTAGACATCAAATCTGAAGCTGCAAAGAAAGGAAGGTTCAACCTTTTCCCTGGCTACATGGAAAGATATAACAAGTCAATTGCCAAGGTATGTTGATGATTGGAATGTGACTAAATAGTACATGGATAAATTCTAGAAAAGTTATACCAAGTTTTAGTAGCACGATATTCTGATGGGAGATAAATAGACCACTTAGGATCCAGAGCTTTCAGGAAGTTATTATTTTTTTTAGTACAAAAGAGGTTGCAGTGTGGGGATGGGGAACGGGTTATAGGTATTAGGATTTGAAACTGTTGGATGCTACCTCTTGAAGGTGATTGAATGAATCAACTAAGCTAAACTCTCTAGGTTTTGACCTTTTCATCTGTTTTTACTTGTGAACTTAAACATTAAATTACTAGATTTTGTTAGGAAATCAAATTGTAACCACTTGAATGCTAGGCTTGATGATAGACATTTTGGTGGAATTTCAGGAAGCAACAATACAATATATGGAGATGGCCAAAAAGCATGGATTAACTCTAGTTCAACTTGCACTTGGATTTGCTCGGGATCGTCCATTTATGACCAGTTCAATCATTGGTGCAACCTCTGTTGACCAACTGAAAGAAGACATTGGTGCATTTCTGACAACTGAACGGCCTTTGCCACCAGAAGTAATGGAAGATATTGAAGCGATTTTCAAAAGATACAAAGATCCTGCCGTAATCTGAGAGCAACGAGAGGAAAGCATGCCATTGATTCATTTTGTTCTTTCACTCCAAAATTCTGTTTTCATAGTATGCAGATTATTTCCAATGGCTATATGTTTATTGATTCTTTATTCACAGGATGAAATAATTTCTATATATATAAAACTACATGTTTTCAATTAATTTTGTCCAAATTCGACCAGAGATATTGGGTTATTATTTTTATAATAACTATTAAGTAATATATTAAAACAAGATTTTACATTTGACGTGGTAATAAAGAGAAAAAAGAAAAAGCAAGAAAATTTTAAAAGGAAGTTAAATTAGTTGGGAGGTGAACGTGAAAACAGGAAAAGAAGCGCGCCAATGTCTCACCTCAACTTCTTTTCAGCTGCAAACCTCCCTATTCACAACATTCCACCGCTTACTTTCCTCTGATTTAGCCTCTTCTCTCTCACTTTTCTTTTTCTCATTGTCCACAGCAAAATCAAAAAAGGAAAAAAAAAAAAGGTAAATTCATTGCATGATCAAATCAATCAACTTTTTTTTTCTACAAGATCATGTTTTTTTGAGCTTGGAAGTGTGGGTTTTTTTTTTTTTTTTTCATTTGATCCAAAAAAGAAGTTAGGATCTTTTTTGCTGATCAAAGAGTAGTGGAGTTCATTTGATGAAGAGTTGGTCTGGGTTTTGATGAATGTTGGGAATAAGGTGTTTCGATTGTTGATGAGAGGCCAAAGCAGAAAGCATATGCATCTATGACAAAGGCAAGGGAGTCGCCGATTCACCACCTGATGCTTGAGCGTCTTCTTTGCCGGTTTCCTTTAAGTTTTTTTAAATGGAATGGCAGATCCTGTTTGTTATGGCAATTCTGAGCGTGACATTGAGCAAGTAATTACTCCCCCTCTTCTTTTTGTTGTTTGTTTTTTGTTAAAATAAACAAAAGAATGGGATAAATCCCCTTGAAATGAGCAAGAATTTGATGTTGAATGACACATTTTCTTAAATGCGGAACTGCCTCTATCTGTTGCCCTTGCCTATAGCACCTAAAGGCCTAACATAATCCTCTTTCTCTTATTGTATGTGTAACATATTTACGGGTAATGGTATACAAAACATCCCTGTCTCATTCATGAAGACTGCTGATTTTAGCGTTATCTTTTTCTTTGTTTCATTTATGTCTAAGATTTTGATCTATTGTTAGACTTATTTGTTCATATATTTCTTCCCCTTTGTTTTGAAGGCACTAATCACTTTGAAAAAGGGCACTCAGCTTATCAAGTATAGCCGTAAAGGAAAACCTAAGTTCCGCGCATTTAGACTTTCTCTGGTGAGTTACTTTCTGTCAATCTTCAATTTATTTACATCTCAATGTACACTCTCTGCTTTTTTCCGAATCAATATCTGGTTTTAACCGAATGAAACTTTGCCTGTTGAATAAATTTGATCGAATAAATGCATATATCCACTTCGGCCCTTTTAGTTCTATTTACGAATTGAATTTTATTAGAATGATTCATTTTTAGTGCTCTGAATTTGTGATGATGTGTGAATCAAAGTCTTGACCATGTGAGTGGGATGGATGGCACTCATTTTAAGATTGTCTGGAGTCTAAAGAGAAGTAAACAGTGTAAATTCATGTGCGAGTAAAAGAAAGATCCTAATTTTATAAACTACCAAAAATAAGTTTTTCACAGAACTTCAAGATGAAATAGTTGTTAGGATGAGTGCTGTTAATATCCCTATCTCATTAAAAATTAAGTAAATAAGCAAGAAACATATGTGAGAAGGACATTTATCATGTTCTTATATGCTTATGCATAAGCATGTGCACGTGAATTCTCTTCTATTTCCTATTTTTTTGTTTTCTAGTAGGAAGCAGTTATTTATAGAAAAGCTATATGCAGTTCTCTTTCTCAGTAATATTAAGTGCGTATATGATTTCAATTTTAGCTGTATTAACAGGATGAAACGACACTGATATGGTTATCACATGGAGAAGAGAAGAATCTGAAATTAAGTTCTGTCTCTCGTATCATTCCTGGACAGCGTACCGTAAGTTCAATTTCAACTTTTCTTTTTTTCCAGTTAATGACATATGTTGCCGTTTAATTAACCTTCTTTTCTTTGTTATAACACTAATATTTCCAAGCAATATATATATTGTTGACCACTGTTTGCCAACTTCTACAGGCTGTTTTTAGAAGATATTTGCGCCCAGAGAAGGAGTACTTGTCATTTTCACTTCTATATAATAACGGTGAAAGATCTCTTGACCTGGTTAGTGCCAGTTACTAGTTAATTCTGCTTTTTATTTATATTCAGCTGAATGATAAATTTGAACCCAGTGATTACCATTGTCTACCTCCATAGATCTGCAAGGACAAAGCTGAGGCAGAAGTGTGGTTAGCAGGGCTTAAGGCATTGATTGGAAAGAATCGTAGTAGACGAACCAAGAGTGATCTCAGTGACGTGAGTTCTCCTTTCAATATGCATATGCATATGCATATAAGTTATTTGTTACATGTGTTAAGTTGGAAGACTGAATCAGTCGTTGTTGGAAATCCACTTATAATATAACAAAACTGTAGCTTCATCGATTAGGGGAGATTTGTGCCGCTACCAAATTATTGATTTCATTAGTTACATTACTAACATGGGAATGTGGCAGAAAATTGTCTTTTAGCAATTTAAAGTGGAACAATCTACATGAATGAATCAATAAGGACATCAAATTGCATTTGATACGGTCTTTTGGATGATACATTCAGTGTGAGCCTCCATTATAATTACAAGAATTCAAGGAATGTATACGATATGTTTGTTCCCTATGCTTTAAATTGAAATTTTTACTTGCTAACTTCCATGTCTTTATGACAGATACAAGAAGGATATTTCTTTCAAAATGGCCGCCCATTTGGCGCAGCTGTAGAGTTCACCAATAGTATTTCCCGCGGTAGGGTGTCTATAGATTCAGGAAGCTCAGATGCAGGGTCAGAACATGCAAGTATGCAGTTGAGAACTAGTGCTGGGGATGGTTTCCGAATTAGTGTTTCAAGCACTCCTAGCTGTTCAAGTGGTGGATCTGCAGGCCCAGATGACATAGAATCATTGGGTGATGTTTACGTATGGGGAGAAGTTTGGTCAGACGGAGTTCCACCAGATGGGTCTGTAAGCACAGTCCCTACAAAAATTGATGTGCTAACTCCTAAGCCCTTGGAATCAAATGTAGTACTTGATGTTCATCAGATAGCTTGCGGCGTAAGACATGTTGCTCTTGTAACAAAGCAAGGTGAAGTTTTCACCTGGGGTGAGGAATCGGGTGGGAGACTTGGTCATGGAATTGAAAAAGACTTTAGCCGCCCCCGATTAGTTGAGTTCCTGGCAGTAACTAATGTGGATTTTGTTGCATCTGGAGAGTTTCATACATGTGTTGTATCCACAGCTGGTGATTTATTCACTTGGGGTGATGGTGCTCATAATGCTGGACTTCTTGGTCATGGCAGTGAGGTTAGCCACTGGATTCCAAAAAGAGTTTCGGGTGCATTAGAAGGACTGCAAGTCTTATCTATCGCATGTGGTTCTTGGCATTCAGCTCTGGCAACTTCTAATGGAAAGCTATTTACATTTGGTGATGGAACATTCGGTGTTTTGGGCCATGGAGATCGGGAAAGTGTTGCATATCCAAAAGAAGTTCAAATGTTGAATGGACTAAAGACTATTAAAGTTGCATGTGGGGTATGGCATACAGCAGCTATTGTAGAGGTTATAGGCCAGTCAGGTGCTAATGTTTCATCAAGAAAATTGTTCACCTGGGGTGATGGTGACAAACACCGGCTAGGTCATGGAAGTAAGGAAACTTATCTACTTCCAACCTGCGTCTCTTCACTAATTGACTACAATTTCCACCAGCTAGCTTGCGGTCATACTATGACTGTTGCACTTACTACATCAGGTCATATCTTTACCATGGGTGGTACTGCATATGGTCAACTAGGCAACCCAAGCTCTGATGGAAAGTTACCATGCCTAGTACAAGAAAGACTGGTAGGTGAATTTGTTGAAGAAATTTCTAGTGGGGCATATCATGTTGCTGTCCTGACATCAAGAAGTGAAGTATTCACTTGGGGAAGAGGTGCCAATGGAAGACTGGGACATGGTGACTTAGAGGATAGAAGAACTCCAACATTGGTTGAAGCATTGAAGGATAAGCATGTAAAAAACATATCATGTGGCTCGAATTTCACTTCCAGTATATGCATCCATAAATGGGTCTCCGGTGCTGACCAGTCAGTTTGCTCTGGCTGTCGGCAGGCATTTGGTTTTACTAGAAAGAGGCACAATTGTTATAATTGCGGGCTGGTGCACTGCCATGCTTGCAGTTCCAAGAAGGCATTGAAAGCAGCATTGGCTCCAACGCCAGGAAAACCACATCGCGTTTGTGATGCTTGTTATGCAAAACTTAAAGCTGCTGAAACTGGTAACACTTCAAATGTGATTAGAAAAGTTGCTGGCCCACGCCCCTCAATAGATGGCAGGGAAAGGTTAGATAGGGGAGAGGTAAGATCTTCTAGGCTTTTGCTCTCTCCCACCACAGAACCAGTCAAATACCTTGAGATCAGGTCAGGAAAACCTGGGACCAGATCTGATTCTCCTTGTCTAATCCGAGCTTCACAAGTTCCTTCACTTTTACAGCTTAAAGATATTGCATTTCCAAGCTCACTCACTATTATTCAAAATGCTTTTAAACCTGCTGCTCCTACTCCTCCATCAACGCCACCGTCTCAGTCCCCTATCAACTCAAGATCTAGTTCACCGTACTCAAGGAGACCAAGCCCTCCACGCTCTGTGACACCTGCGTTTTCAAGGAGTGTTATCGAAAGCCTCAGGAAGTCAAATGAACTTTTGAACCAAGAAGTGGCAAAACTGCAAAATCAAGTACTAGTGATATACCTTTTTGCTATTCCATTATGCTCACTTGCTACACTACCAGTGGTAACCATGCAGCCTACCATCAAAAATAACTTTCTCTTCTTTTGAGCAATTACAGATCAAAAGTTTGAAGCAGAAATGTTTTTCACAAGACGTGGAGATTAAGAAACTACGAGAAAATGCACAAGAATCTGATTCATATGCCTTAGAAGAATCATCCAAGTATAAAGAGGCCAAGGAAGTTGTGCAATCCATCACAGATCAGGTATAGTTTAGTTCACTTGATATTTAAGTTTGCCACTGTTCATTTTAAATGCAAACCATATCTTCTACAACTACACCTACTGATAATACAACTCAAAATTCTTTTACAGTTGAAGGAAATAACAGAGAAGTTACCTCCTGAGGTTGCTGAAAGTGAAACCTTTAGAGCTATGCATACTCGAGCTGAAGCATTCTTAAACACACATGGAACATCTGAAGCTTCTTCTTGTTTGCCGGCAAGCTTGGAGTCTTCAAATGTGCAAGACCAGAGGATGGAAGATAATGTGGAAACTGCAACTACTGTCCCATCTAATGATGGCGGAAGTTCTACAGAGGCTGCATCTCAACAAAGCTCAGAAAATGAATCAAGAGCATCGGAGGCTTCAGCAATTAGCAGAGGAGGAGAAAAGGAAATTATTGAGCAATTCGAACCTGGAGTCTACATTACTTACGTTTATCACCAAAATGGTGGCAAGATCTTTAGACGAGTTAGATTCAGGTACTCGACTGATTGGTTGATTCTACTAGATTACACATGTCGAAATGCACACACACACACGGATAGACACAAATGCACCATCCACACATATATACACACCTGGAACACCAAATTCCTCTGCTGATCCTTTCTACTTCTGAAAAACAATGATTGACTTGCATTTATTGTTCAAGACTTGCATTGCAATTGTTCAATGACTTGCATGAGGAGATCTCATTAATCTCACAACCTTATGTTGACACCAACATTTTTGCAGTAAACGAAGGTTCGCTGAGCAGCAGGCAGAAGAATGGTGGAGCAAAAATAAAGACAGGGTGCTTATGAGGTACAGTCCACATGCAACAAAACCTGCTTCAGCTGTATCATCTCCTTCTCAACCACAAACACCACCAGCACCTGCTGATGAAACTAGTGAGGCAGCATCCCCTTCTCAAACTCAGTCATCTGTTAATGTAGAATAGAAAAAGATCAAGCAGCTACCATGACTGCAGCAACATTATGGATCAACAATTATGTATTTGTTTTTAGAAAAGGTTACGTATGCATACAAGAATTTTCCATCACTTTACCTCAACAAGGCAAAGAAACAACTCCATGATCGAGACATGATGACCTCAAAGAATTATCTACTTAAGAGGAAGGAAAAGTACATTTAGCTCTTCTTATTCATTCTTTGTTTCTTATTCTGTTGCTTTCTGAAACCTTTCTACTGAAACATTGTAGCGGCACAGTAGATAAATTCCTTTCAATATGATCAACGGTAGCTATATTTTTTGGATTAAATACATATTTGATCCCTAAATTTTGTAATTTTTGTCGTATTAGTACTTTTAAAGAATTTTTTTATCATATTAATACTTAAATTTTTAAATTGATATATCTTAGTAACATCATTATTCAGCTTTATTGATGTAGCATCATTAATGTCACGTCATGACATGTCATACTTACATCATATTCAAAAAAAAAAATAAAAAGTTAATAAAATTTTAAAAATTCTACAAAATATTAAAAATTTTTTCAAAAAATATTATATTTTTTAAAAAAAATTTTAAATTTTTTTTGAAAATTTTTTAAAAATTCTGAAAGTTTTAAAATTTCCAAAAACATTAAAAAACTTCAAAAAATTTTAAAAACTTATAAAATTTCAAAATAATTCTAAAAAATATTAAAAAATTCTGAAAAAATTTTAAAATTCAAAATTTTTTTAAAATTTATCAAAAAATTAAAAAATTCTAAAAAATTGTAAACCTTTTTGAAAAATTATAAAAAATTTAAAATTTATAAAAAATTTAAAATATGAAATATTTTTATAAATTATAAAAATTATCATAATTTAAAAAGTTTTAAAAATTATGAAAATTTTTAGAAAAATTAAAAAATTTTAAAATTTATAAAAATTAATTTTTCTTAAAGTTTATAATATATAAAAACTTAAAAAACTGAAAATAAGAAAAAATTTAAAAACTTTTAAAATTTTTTGAAAAATTAAATAATTTCAAAATTTTGAAACATTCTTTAAAATTAAACAAATCTAAAAAATACAAATCCAAAAAAATTTAATAAAAATATGTAAATATTTTTATTCAAAATTTTTTTGTTTTTTATTTTAGTTTTTTTGAGTTTTTGTTATTTTTTAAATTTTAACAAAATTTTAAATTTTATTAAAACCATCATTTTTTTTGTTTTTTTATTTGTTTAAATTTCTTGGATTTTTTTAATTTGGAAGTATTTTCCAAATTTTTAATTTTCCTTAATTCTTTTTGAAATTTTTTTTAAAATTTTCTAGAATGTTTGAGAATTTTTAAAAGTTTTTAGAAATTTTTAAAATTTTTAATTTTTTGAATTCTCTAAAAATTTTTTGAAATTATTTTAGAATTTTTGAAAAATTGTTAGAAATTTTAAATTTTTTCATAATTTTTTAAGATTTTTTATAGTTTTTTAAAGTTTTTAAAAAGTTTTTAGAATTTTTTATTTTTTAGAATTTTTTATTTGAATTTTTTAAAATTTTTTTGAATTGCAAAATTTTTTGAAAATTTATTTTAGAATTTATAGAAATTTCTTAGAATTTTTTTTTAGAATTTGTTAAAATTTTTTTAATGGTTTACAATTTTTTGAAATTTTAAAATAAAATTTAAATTTTTTTATACATATCAACATTTTATTAATGATTCATGCTATATTAATAAAGTTGACTAACGACGTTAATAAAAAATACAAATATAATGATGATTTGAAAATTCAAGTATCAATATGAAAAAAAATTGTTTAGATTCCAATGTAACCAAAATTATAAAATTCAAAAATCAAATATGTATTTAATTTTTTTTAATTTGAAAAACAAAAAAATTTCGACCAAATCTTTGAGCACGTAGATCATGTATCAATCACCACATCAATTATTCAGGTGCATTAGACAGTTGTTTTATTAGGTTAGAATACAATATTGTTGTCCTATACTTTTATAATTTTATTCAAAGTAAAATCTTTGGATCCATTAGTTGTTTGATTACATAATAAAATCAAAGTACAAATAGGGAACAGTGAAAAAAGAGGCTATATACAAAGTAAAATATTACTAGTAGCAGAAAACAAATTTGGGGCTGGTCGGGACATTTGGATCAGCCAAGTAAGATGTCAAACCAAGTTTGTATCCATCATTTATTTGGTGGTTTGATACATTTTTGTAGGGGCAATTAATGCCAACGCTCTGATAGGATGTTATTAATTAAAGATTATTTTATAAATAATTATTGATTTAATTAATTAAAGTTTATTTTTTTTATTAATAATTTGAGATTAAATTTTATTGATGATTATCTATTAAGATTATTTTACATATATAAATTATTTAATTTAATTTATTTATTTTTAAATTTATTTTTATCAAAAAAATATTTTTATAAATTAATTAAAGTTCTTTGACAACTTCCCAACTGTCATATGTCATCGATGTGATAGCTCAACCAATAACAATAGCTATTAAATTTAGCAAGAAATGGACTCAATTTAGATTTTTAATTATTAAAAATATTGATAAGTGCTTAATGACATTAATTATATAATATTTAAAGAAAAATTTTGCTCTTGATAAATTTAATTTATTAATTATAAATTTTAAAATTATATTTTAATTATTTTAATTAATATTTAAAAGCATTTTTCAATAAAATATTAAATTAAATTAGATAAATACAATTCGGCTTAATTTGACTGATTATTATTTTCTTTGTAAATACTAAACAGATTTATATTCGAATTTGATTTAAGATTATTCTTATTTAAAAAATTATTAACTTAAAAAGAAAAAAAAGAACAAGGTTATAATTAAATGTATGCAATTATTGAGCCAATAAAAGCAAAGCACGTGTCTTCAAGGGACCGCGTTCAAGCCGTTTCTACACGTCACTTCAGTTGGGCCACCGGTTTCCTAGAAAATAAATAAATAAAAAGTCATAAAAAAAACTAATTAAAAATTTTAAACTTATAAATTTCGTCGAAATGAAATTTTTATGTTCCTTTGACTCTCAAATTCTTCTCTGTTAAGACATCTTATTTTTTTTAAATGAATATTTAAATTTATTTTTCCGATTTAAAAGTTAACAACCTTTTTCAATATCTCGATCCTAACTTTGGATCTCTTGCCCATTTTATTTTCCTGGAAAAAAAACCCTGTGTCCAATTTTCCATCGAACCAAACAGAAGGTTGTTTTGAATGGGGCAACAACAATCGAAAGACGAGTTGTTATACAATCAAGTGAGTTACGGCAATACTGAAGGGATCAAAGCTCTTCGCCGTGAAGGCGCTGGCCTTGAGGTACCAATTAATTAATCTGATTTTTTTTAATTAATCACTAATTATTAATCGAATAATTAACCCTTTTTTGGTTATGGATTGACAGTGGATTGATAGAGAAGGGAAAACGCCGTTGATATTGGCGTGTTTGAATCCAGAGCATTTTAATGTAGCCAAAACGTTGATCGAACTCGGTGCCAATGTTAACGCCTATCGTCCAGGTTTCAATTTTTATCGACTTTTTTATTATTTTCAAAAGGGCTTTATTTAATTTATTTGTTTTTCTGAAATTAAATTTAAATTTTGGTTTCCAACAAATAAATTTGGCAATTCTTTTCAATTTTTCAATCCCGGTAGCAGAAATTTATGATTTTGAAGGACCTTTGTTTTGTTTTAATATTCCTTTTTGCCTGTGAAGTGGAAATTTTTACTGGTCATAATCATTTATAACATTGGTTTAAGAAGGAAGAAATTTGCAGTTTTCAAAGGAGGTTTGGAGGCTATTGAAATGAATAGTATATTTAACTGATATAATTTTGGTATTTTAATTTGTGTTTAGGTCGTCATGCTGGGACTCCCTTGCACCATGCAGCAAAGAGGGGCCTTGAGCATACAGTCAAATTACTTCTTTCCAATGGAGGTTATTGTTTTACCTAATTCTACAACACTATGGGAAAACCAAGTTATTAGTTTTTACAGAATTAATATGCTTGATTTTAACCTGAAGCTTGGCTCAATTGGTTCATGTAGCCACCCTTAAGAGGTGAAAACTAGCAGATCTGAGGTTCAAATCCCATCTGCTGCAACCCCTTCCCCCTATTCCCAAGCTGCGGCATCCTTTGAACCAAAAAATATAAATGTTTGATTTGAACTGGGTACGGTAGTTTTATAAGCAACTTGTTTAAATTTTCAGCTAACCCGTTGGTGATGAATGATGATTGTCAAACACCTCTAGATGTTGCTAGGGAGAAAAGAACTGCCAATGTTGTGCGGGCAATTGAGGTATATAGACGGAAGTTTATTTTCTATATTCTATGTATTGTATAATCTGCTGAAAACTTTGAGATTTATCGTATACAGCTAAGTGCTGCCTGAGCAGAGTTTTTTTCCCTTTGATTCTGTGCAGGATCACATATGTTTGTTCTCTGGTTGGATGCGGGAGTTTTACGGGCCAGCATTTATTGAAATGTTTGTTCCTCAGTTGGTTTCAAGAAAAGTGTGGGTATTATTATTTAGAATACTTTTTAATTTCTACTATTTTTTGCTTGTTTGTCACCATAGTCCATAGAAGAATATGAACTGGATAGTTTCTATTAACGTAAATCTTGAATTTTCCATCGATCAGTAGCATGTTTTTCCAAGCAAATTGTGTATCTTCTCATTAATGCATTTCTTGCAGTTGGGTTGTTGTTCTACCAACTGGTTCCCGAAATCAGACAAAGCCTTTCAAGTTGGAGCTGGCCATATATTCCAGTTTGCAGGTATTACAAGTATAATTTGTCTCTTTTTTTTAATCTATAGATATTCAAGCTCTAAGGGTGCAAAAAGAGGTGAAATGAGCCAAATATTAGAGCCAAATATTATGCTCTTCAAGCTCAGCTAAATCTGAATTATGCCTTTGTCAACCTGAATTCAAGCTTGAATGATAGCTGAAATAAATCAAAAGATAAAACTCCTGAAGCTTGGCTTAAACTGGCTTGAATTTTTCATCAAGTTAGCTTCATCTTTCTTAAGTACTTATGATGCTGTTATGTATATAAATAATGAGTTTACCTACTATTGATTACCATGTATATAAATATAAAGGCTGCAAACTACTTTAAAATTTTCAAGCTACTAAGCTTGGTGTGTTATTTCATAACTGAGTAAAGCAAAGTTTGAATAACCTTGATATATGGATCAAAAACTTGAAAGGAGTAAATTGCGGATAGGATAAATTCTTAGATGGTGGCAAGGTCTTCTTTAATCCTACATTAATGGGATATCTTAAAGGAATTTATTGGTTAGCTCAAACCAGGATTTGTCATGGGGCCCTTGGTATGTATTAACCTTTCTAGGGTTAGCTTGTATCTAGTATTTACCCAAATCCAATTGTGAACTACTAAATCATACTTTAAAATAATTTATTGTTTTACTTGCTTTGTTTTGCTTCTGTTTTTTACTGTTCAACTTTTATTCTCATTAAATAATTTTCTATTTCTTATTGGGTAATTGGTGAATTAACAGGATGCCCAGCCACGAACAGTTATTGCATTGTGGAAGGCTGATTTGGAGGAGCCAAAGCTTAATCAGCCTGATCCTTCAGTGGCAATTCTTGATAACTCCAGCAGTAATCCTCTTGCCAATATATGCAGTTGTCAATTGTTTCTAGCTATATTTTGGAATTTGAAATCAGATTGATTTCTTAGTCTCCATATTTTGATTGATTTTATCTTCATGCATAGTCTCAAGACGTGGGAGGCGGAGACGAAGTATTTACACCTCCCGAGAGGCGAGGTGTAAGCCTGGAATAGTTAGGCGTATGCATGGTAATTATCAGTTATTTACAACTATATAAAAAACCCTGAAATTTACTGTAGTTGCATGTAAACGTGATAAGACCAGAGTTCTTTTTGGAAATCATTAGGACTTTAAATTGCAGCCTCACCATAGTGCAGCCTCCACATATTTTGATTGACTTTATCTTCATGCATAGTCTCAAGACGCAGGAGGCGAAGACGAAGTATTTACACCTCCCGAGAGGCGAGGTGTAAGCCTGGAATAGTTAGGCGTATGCATGGTAATTATCAGTTATTTACAACTATATAAAAAACCCTGAAATTTACTGAAGTTGCATGTAAACGTGATAAAACCAGAGTTCTTTTTGGAAATCATTAGGACTTTAAATTGCACCCTCCCATAGTGCAGCCTCCACTTTGGTAGAGTTTCTTCAGATAACTAGGTTTCTTTTCCCCTGATGACTACTTTGCCAATAATTAGGTGAACACTGAACACTGGTTATTTGCCTTGATGCTTGGGTACTACCCATAAGTATATTTGTTACAATGTATGTTTTCTGTGTTATAATTCACATCAGCATGGTCTGGTTATTTTGCAGAAACACGCATTAAACTTGCACCTGGCAATGAAAATGATCGACAGCAGCTTCTGTGGTTTTGTGATGCATGCAAAGGAATTCCACAGGTATTACTCAGTAATATTCACCCTTTATTTACGGATGTTTCATTTCTGCTTCTTGTTTGTAGAGCCATGCATAACCACAGCAGACTATAACAAGAGGAGCAAGTTATTGTGGACAGAAATGGAATTTTTTTATCATCAAAATGATATTTCCTCAAATTTTTTACAAATAATACTAGAAATTCCCTAGTCGAGATTGTTGGGTCTTCCTAAAGAAGTTCCTGTAGCTTAGTGAAGCTGGAATCAGTACATGATGGAGTTTATATTTTCGGGTCTGTTTGCTTGAGGGAGTTGTACTGTTTCTCAGAAGCAAACTGGATAAGTGTGAATGAAACTTTTCATTGAAATTACACAATCATTCTAATTTATACAAGGGCTACACCTTTGTTTTCCGGGTGGGAGGCAGTTGAGTTCCACAGTACATGCAGTAATAAGTAAAACCTCAGGGTAGTTATTCACCCAACTTAGAAATACGAAACATTTTGTTCATAATATTTCTGGCATGGTGATCGTCCTGTCAATTTTCACATTAAATCAATGTTGATTTGAGTTATGGCATTGGAATATGTAGGCAACAGGACCTGCATTTCTGCATAATCCTCGGCCTCCAGCTGCTTCAGCACCTGCACCACCAGATGCTGAGGATTTAGAATTAGCCATGGCAATCAATGCCTCTATCCAGTCAGCAATCGCGGAGACACCCAATTTTGATTTGCAATTGGGCAATGAAGCTAGTTCATCCACCAGTTGGAGTACCCTTGCAAGTAGTAGCAGTCACGGTGGTTCAGTAGCACCAACGGCATATCCTCCTTCAAAAGCAAGTATCAGTGAATGGACAATGACTGAAGCTGGCACTGGTAGCCATACAACCGCCAAGACCCAGAATGATAACAATTCTGCTGCCCATATTACAGTGCAAAACTCAGATTCAGTTCCATCAGCTCCACCTGCTGTGAATGAGATCGTAGAAAATGGTCCAATCCAATATCCATCGATTGATACCACTCCTATTGATATGTCTTACTCAGATGGTGAAAAGGTAGCTGCCAGTCCTGGTCAAACAAAAGAAGATGGAGGTCCTGCTTCCTGCACAATATGTTTGGATGCTCCATGCGAGGCAGCGTGCGTTCCTTGTGGCCATGTTGCCGGTTGCATGTCTTGTTTGAATGAGATCAAAGCCAAGAAATGGGGTTGCCCTGTATGTCGTGCCAAGATTGAGCAGGTCATAAAGCTATATCGTGTTTGAATTTTCACAACTGAATTTGTGTAAGCTGTAAATGTTTCAGTGATTTCTGCACACTGAAGAAGTTTGTTTCTCATTTTGTGGCACTTGGCGCTACTAGTTTTTGTAAACTATATACTTAAATCAATTTTACTATTTCATGTATAATTGCAATAAAAAAACGTTTTTTAAGTAGTTTTAGTTTTAAATAATAATTTCACTCTTAGTTGTATTTATTATTAAAAAAACCCAAATCAGTAGTATATTTGATTTATTAGATATTATTTAAAAATATAAAATAAGTAAATACAAAAAAGTATTGTTTTTAGGAAAGAGATTGTACTTGAGAATAAAACAATGGGTTATAAGAAGATTTGTCAACGGATTGGCTTATCTGTTCAAATTTAGAAGTCCAATCTTGTTAATATTGTGTCTAGACCTGACTCAACTTATGTACAGATCTAATCGTATTTTAAATGTACTAAATGTCATTTTGAATATATTTTTTCAAATTGATTACATTGATCGATCAAGTTAAAATGATCATGTATGTTCAAAAATCAAATAAAATTGGATGCGAGTAACCAGACAACAAGAGAAGACCCTGACTCGAAAATACTTGTAATTTTATGATTTGAACATGAAATAATACAACTCATCCCTTCTAATTGCCACCTTTATAAAGCCTTGAAAGTAAAAATTCCAATTTTAGCAGTGGATTATGTGAGTTCGGGATTCAGGAACAGTTGCAGGACATCAGATCTCTTCTGAAAAGAATACAAAAGAACCCCAAGGCAAACTGTAACTTGATGTGAACGTGACCTATTCCCGCATTGGCATTATGGAGAGTTGGCAGAAGCTGGTTGGGCACTTTATCGGCATTACTTTTACACTTTGCATCATTGCATGAACTCAAACATCAAAAACAGCAATGGCAAGGCTCTTTTGGTTGACATCCTTGTCATGTTAGGGACTCTTTGATATAAATCCAGAAAGTGGAAGGTCATGTTTCCTTAATAGAGTGAGTGTGCTCTATCTAGTTATCAGCCATTCATGTTATTAAAGAAATTCCACCGATATCGTTTGGTTAAGGATAAACCAAGAAAGGCCCCAGTTTCACTATTTCCATGCACTTTATGCCTTACTCATGTCTTTAATTATCAAGTCCCTAAATTCCTGTTTCGGATGACTCCTGGGAAGCCTAATAACCAATTGGGATTGATGCAATTGGGCACAAGAACCGTCAAAAACGCTTAGCTCCATCTGCTTTTCATCTGTTTGCTGTTCAGTTGGGATTCAGTGACTATTGAGGGTTTCCAAGTTGTGTTCATAATCCATGTCTGTCTTGAGTTAATCCGACGAGCCTAATCAGGGCAAAACCAATGCAAATCCAAATTTCTTACAATGGGAAAAACCATAAAAGGTAGGCCTAACCCATTTACTATATTGGCATGGCCATGCTAAATTGGCTTACAAATATTCGAATCTACTTACTTTAAGTTTATATATAACATATTTATCATGGTCAAGAGCTAGGAATTGTCCTCAACATTGAAGCCAAACACAAAGTTGAAAATTCCATATTTGGGAAATATCAATGTGAAGTATGGATAGTAACTTTTTCCCACAAATTTTCTTCTTCTTCTTCTAATTGATCATAATTGTTATAGGAAAAAGATTCCATTAACTTGGGATGATTGACAGCCGTATTTCCTTCTTCACATTTTGAGTTCTTCGATGGCAACTTTTTTGGGTTCACTTTCTTTGAAATTATGTCCACCAAATGAAGCTAAATTTTATGTTTAAAATTTGAATTGAGGTTTTAATTACGTCTAAAGCAAGGCTTTTCGGAACAATTCATTGTCCAACTGGAAAAGATTCAGAGATACGATATCTCAATTCTACTTTGCTTTTTCCTAATCAAAGAGAAAAAGAAAAGGGGAAACTAATTCGGGTAGGCTTTGGATCTTTGCCCGCTTCCCGGATCTCAATTTTCATCTCCAAAATCTATTGACTTGAAACATAATCCTTGGGTTAAAGGACTAATCTAACCATGTTTGTGCAAACTAACGAATAATACAAATGATCAAAGAGATTGATTAGCATATATTTAAAGATATTCTATCCGTTTCTTTGAGATTGGTAAAGAGAGAAAAAGAAGAATATGAATTTTGTTTTTAAAAGATTGCCAGTAATTGTGTCCATGGATCAGATCAAGTCATATCAAATGCAATTGATTTTAGAATTACAACAATTTTGATTTCAGTTGTTAAGTAAAAAAGTTTATATAAGCATTTATACAAGTGCAAGCGAAATCAAATCATAAAATCATTTATATAAGATATAATAATTTAATGTGATTCAATTTAACTCAAAGTAACCTATATTCATAGATAAGAGAAAATATTACAAACAATCACATTAATCAATCACTTACATTCAATATCCATGAATATTTTTCTTTAATCTTATAAAATATTTTCAATCCAAATAAATATATATCTATGTAAATCATTTCAATATATTCTAGTTTACCTAAACAAACATAATAATCATCATACTTATGTAGACTTTCTCATTATTCTTTAGTCCACAACAAGCATTCAAGCATACACATTTAAAAAGATCCTCTCAATCTTCTCTAATTTTATAAGGTGTCTGCCCAATAATATCTTATAGTTCTATTACATTTTTTCTCATACCTAACTCTATAGATATTTTACTATTTATTAGCCTACTAACTTTCCTATAAAAAATCTTTTCATTCTTACAATTTTTCTCTTACAAGTATTCTTCTCCATCAAATAATATCTATCTTATCTTGAAAAAATCTCAAACAAATATAAAATTTGAGTCATTATTCTCAATAATCTTTACCTTAACTCAAATTTCATCATATCATCATTCTTCATACTAACATGTTTGTCTTCACATGTAACGAAAGTCTCATAATAATTTTTTTATATCTTCACATTTCACGTAAATTGATTTATCAAAATACAAACTCAAACTCCTAGTAGTTTGTCTATTCCCATATCTCAAACCTTTTATTTGATACTAATTGTTAAGATTATGATAGCTTTGATTCTAGTTTTTAGGCAAAAAAAAAAAAAAACTCTCAATCAATTAAGCATTCACACAAGTGAAAGTGAAATCAAACCGTAAAATCAACCCATGAAATCATCCACACAAAAAATAATAATTTAAAGTAATCAGTCCAACTTAAAATGTCTTACAGCTATAGATTAGAAAAAAAATTCACCAGTTATAAAATATTATAAATGCATCACATCAATCAATCACTCACAATAAATATTCATAAACATTTTCCTCTAGTTTTATAAAATATTATTAACCCAAACAAACACATGCGACCATCTCAATTTTCTCTAATTTGCTTAAACAAACATAACAATCACTATATCTATGTGAACCTTCTAATTTTTCGCTAATCCACTACAAACATTCAAACATACACAACAAAAGAACTCTCTCAATTTCTTTTAGTCTTATTTGGTTTCTACATAATAAAACTCTACAATTCTATTACATATTTCTCTTCTAACTAACTCTACAAAAACTCCTATTATTTATAAGCATGTTAATTTACTTATAAAGAATTTATTTCTTTTTACAAATCTTCTATTGCAAGTATTCTTTTCTGTTAAGTAATATCTAATTTATCTCAAAAAAATTTCAAACAAATTTTTTATTAGATCTGAATCACTATTCCTAATAATTGATTTTTTAAAACTTTTATTCAAGGTCTAACTAGGTCATTGTGCCCCATAAAATTAAAATTTTTTTAAAAATATGTATTAACATATTTATATTTATATATATATATCTATTAAACTAAATAAAAATATTTTATTAAGTAAAAAATATCTCTGGTCTAACCGGTCCAAACTTCAAAAATTTTATCCAAAGTCCAACCTAACTCAGTCTAATTGCAAGATATTATAATTAGTTTTCCAATCTATATCATAATTAACATCTTTATGCCTCTAATAAATTATTTTTGTAAATGATAAAAATTTTAATTTTAATGATTAGAGTTCAAAAATTGACCTTAAGTAAAAAAAATTGACTTTCATAAGAGTAGCATTAGTGGAGTTAAAGAAAAAAGTAGGAAGAAGAAAAATTATAGTGATGAAATGCAGCCATAATTTACTAGGACATCGAATTATTGCAGTTAATTTGTAATAGAAGTTTGTTGATTTTAAATACATTCTTATAAATAATTTCGATTGTTAAGACTTAAGAGATCATAAAATGTTGATAAATGAATCTTATACAATTAATTAATTAGGAGTAAGATATTACATTATGATAACTTGATAAGAGAAAGTATCTTATCACCCAAAAGGGATATGATCAGATAAGATAAATATAATTAATTTTTATATATCCTAATAAATTAATTAATCAAATTTTATGGAAAGCGTTTTAGGATTAAAATCTTGAATGCACTTAATATCGTCTAAAAAAATTAAATTCAGATGAAACTATTAAAATATCTAATCGAATTCTTAATAAATAAGTAAATAAACGATAAACAGTAATCAAACATGTAGCCTTTGGATTAGTTTATTTGGCATATTACAATATTACTTACCATAATTTAAGTGGCTAAGAAGAAAGTGCTTTTGATGCAAGATTGTAATATTCAGATTTTCACTTGAAAAGAGATGAATATCTATCAAACCATGGAGCTAAAGGTTGGAGAAAGGAAAATTAGTCAAGTGGATACTGAGAGGGTGCTATTTTATAGGATGGTGATTGATTTGTTATTGTGATTTAACACAAGCAAAAATCGGACTGTGGATAGAAGAGCATTCCTTGACAACTTGACAATAATGCAAGGTTCAAACTTACCCTTATAGGCCAAAAGTGTGACCACGAATCTAGGCAGCAAATCTGCTCTTCTTCTCAGGCCAATAACTACTGTGCTTTCCATCAGCTCCTTCAAACAGTGGTAGGCAATTGGTAAACTCCTACCCAATTGGAATATCAATAATGCCTTTAAAATTGTTCAAGAATTGATGAACAAGTTTGGCACTTAGCAACAGATTTTCAAGATCTAAATATGAATATAGAAAGGTAATGGAATTCCAAATTTCTTTGCTATAGAATCCAATCTTGATATGTTAGTGGAAGTCTCTTTTATTGATTAGTCATTGCTTCTTTCAAATTTCAATCAATAGCATACCGTTTGGAGCTATCAACCATGTTTAGAATGTTGGCTGAAAACCCTTTTTTGTAGGTGTGCAAATGGACAGCTTTGCCTGATCAAACATATTGATGATTATGATATTTGACCATTTCAATTTCGGCCATATTTTTCTTTGGATATTGCCTTGTTCAAAATTGTAAGGTCTTTTTTCTATGAAGTTACAAGAAATTACAATAATAATAATATGCATATATAAAAAATTATTGAATAAATGAAATAAACAAACCAATTAATGAATTAGCTAGCACATTATTGAACAAAAATAACATAACATTGATTAAACCCAAATTAGGTAAAACTTTAACATGATTCCTTAAGGTTTGAGGTTCTTTTTTTCTACTAGGACAAAATTTCATTGGCAAATTATTTGGTCCTTGGAACAGTGGATTTTTTAGGGCAGTGAACGGAAATTGGTCTTTATATATAATTCATACAAATTAAGCTTTTACTAAATGAATTTGAGCTTGTTCTATTGCGTATGTCTATATAATTCAAATATAAAAAAAATATATACATATAGAGTTTTGCATCTTTCTATATCTCCCAAAAATTCTATTTTTACTAAAAATCCTTGTTCTTGGATTGGATTCTAACGAATTGAATCTTTTGACAATTTGTAATAAACTCTTTTTTTATTAAATTCAAATTAGAAGACAAGAACAATAGAATAATAATACAAATTAGGTTTCTATTAAAAATATCTTATATAAATATATGAAAACCAAAATTTTTGATAAAAAAAGGAAATAGTCTAATTTGGATAGTTTATATTTTTGACATGTGGATGGGTTTAAAAAATCACCATTTGTTCTCTAATAAATATATTTTGTTTATTTAAAATATTTTTATTGTTTTTTATGGTAACACTTTTATTACTTAAAAAGTAATTAGTTAGACTAAATTAATTACATTTATTACATTTTAAATATCCAATATTTTTACCTTATATGAATAAGTTATAATTAATTTAGTCAATAATATAGATAAAAAAAAACTAAATAAAAAGCTAATCACTCATGAATATATTTTCTTATCTTCTTATTACTTATGAAAAATTAAATTGAATTTAATGTAGTAAATAAGAAAAGAGAAGTGAGCCATTTTAATGAGTTGACAATAATGATATTATTAAATTAAAAAAGATTTAAAAAAAAAAAGCAGATTAAGCAATAATTCAAAATTTGTAATTTTAAGGAGCAAGATAGCAAACTATATTGCTGATTCTTTAACAAAAATGGGAGTGGAAAAAATATTTTATGCCTTTTTTTATTGGATTTTATGGCTATTGGTAGTAGACTCCAAGGGGTTAGGCTATGTGTATTTTTTTTTTTTTTTGAGAAATTAGATTGTGTGTATTATTAGGTGTTGTTATAATTGTTTTTCTATTTATTCATTGGAAACCTTCTTTGGTGAGATTTTAAAGTTTTGTCATCCTTTGATTTTATGAATGAAATTATCTTTTTGGATGAGAAAAAAAATTTTATATCACACTTTTTTTTTTGTTTTGTACTTTTGTACTTTATTTTTAATAATCAAATCAAGGTTATTTATTAAATTGTAAATAAAATGATGATAAAAAATTATTTAGGGTGACTTAAGATTTTTATCAACCATTATCAATATTTTTGTATTTATGAAAATAAATTTTAAATTGTTCTCTAAAATTATAATTATATTAAATCTTGAAATAATATCATATTACAAAAATGATTATACACAAATATAAAATTTTGAATTTTAAATTTTCAAATAAATAATATTTGACAATTAACTTTTTGAATTGAAAAAAAATAGCAATTTTCTTGATTTAAAATTTTGAAATTACATAAATATTCTTAAATATTTGATAGAAATCAAAAGTTAACTTTCCAATGTTGTAAAAAAAAAAAAAAGTATGTTAAATATAGTTATGTATTTATTATGCCAATATACACCTTCCAATATTTTACGCATACAATTTTTTTTAAAAACTAATAATGTTATATAACAAAAATTATGATCGTTTGCTTAATCGTACACATAGCATGGGTTTAAAACTAGGTAGGTATAATATAAACAACCATAACAATAAGTTCCATTTTATGCGGTGCTTACAATAAGTTTCATTTTCTAGTTTATACATACATACATACATACATACATATATATATATATATATTACCTAGTTAAGTCCTAAAACAATGATATTAAAGTTTTTTTGAAGGTGTTTAAAAAAAATTTTAAGGATATTCAAAGAAATTTATTTTTTAAATTTTCTTATTTTTTAATTTTTTTTAAGATGTTAATGGATACCTTTATCATTACATTTGCCTCCACCATTGGCTTTAGACTGAATTTTCTATAGAGTTGCGGTATGAATCTCAACTCTAGCCTCCCACTTTACAAATGAGTTACCTTTGTTCTCAACCATAAATAAAACCCATATACAAGCAGTACACAGCCTTCAAAAACGTAAAAAATAAAATAAAATAATAAATATAAACATCTAACAATTGACATGGTTTATATTTTAAAGGATAACGTATAAATTCCGATATTTCCAAATAAAAAAAAAAGTATGTCAACTTTTAGAATAATGCCTCCTATCCCTTTTAATTCATACATACCATGATTAGTTGAATAAATATTAAGAGTAAACCTAATTTTGAGCAATTCGTGAGCATGCATCTCTCTCACTTGATTGGACATGTCTAATGTAATATTTTAATAATGTTATCTGTCCATTGCATCATTTATTTCATTACTGTAACGTAGTTGAAAATTTTTTTTCTTCAAACAAAAGCTCCCATGTATCCAAACTTATAAGCTAGTTCCTTCAAGTAAAGACCAATAATGGAGGACAGCTTTATATGCAAATTGCAAATTTTCCAAATTGGTTTGGTGTCAATTAGATCAAGCTGTTTGTTTGTATTGGTATGGAAGCCAATACTTAGGGTTGAAACTAGCTATTCACCCACATGAACTGTTTGTGAGGAACTGTGCTTGATGGACTGATGCTTTCAGGTGATGCAAGTTATACCTCAATTGAAGTTAGTGAAGGGCAATGTAGTCATTTGAGAAAAGGTGTTGTCAATCAATGGAAAAGGGTGAAGAAACAAAATCATGTTATTCCCTCATATTTTTAACCCAATAACTTTAACCTGTCTCCATCAATCATCTTTCTCTCTCCCTCTTTTCTCTCACTGTTAAAACCTCTTTCCATTTCCATAAAAGCCCTAGACAAAGTTATTTCCAATTACCCATTTACAATTGCCAGTCCCAGTCTGTGTTAAAAAATTTTTGCAGCGAACGGAACTGAGAGTTTACCATCCTGCCAAAATGACTACACTCTCAAATGTTTTTTTTCTTTTTTGCAGAAAACATAGTTGGGAAAAGGAAAAGCCCACCACATTAGACATCATAAGCCTTTCAAGTTTTCTAGGATTGATCAAACCAAAGATTCAAAGAAACCTCAAAGAAAAGAAAGGGACTAGACCCAGCTGCTTTGATTCCCCCCCCATTAGCTATACTGTTGTTTTTTCCTCTTCCTATATATTTAGCCTCATCCTATATCATCTTCTTCAACAAATCCCTATACCCTTTCTCTTTCTCGTGGCATTATTGAGTCCCAGGTGAAATCCACCTGTTTTCAAACACTTTTTGGCCTGTTACCTGTCTTTCTTCATCAACCTCAATCCCCACAATTTTACAAATTATAATATTAATCTTACACCTTTCAGCTTATCATTTATTGTTCATCTTCCCCTACTTGTAAGACATTCCATCCCCCTTTGCTTTCTTTTCTCGTTTATTGTCGTCCTGAAAACTCTTTCAGCTTCCTCTCCTTTCTTCAGAAATCTTTGTATTTCAAATTACTCTTTCCCTTTGTTTTTCCTTTCGTTCGACTACTGTTCTTGAAGCTATATCTAAAACCCTTACTAGAAAGTAAAAGGATCGTCATATCTATTAGTTTTCCATATGGATTCTCTTCAGGATTTCGAAACCTCAAATACCAACCCTTCCACTACTTTAACCCCAAATTTCCCTGCAAACCTTTCCATCACCACCGTGTCCACCAACAACCACAACACAAACCCTTTATCAGCCATGGCCTCGTCCTCGTCCTCCTCCCCTTCCTCCACTTCTCCTTCCACTCTCAGCCGCTATGAAAACCAAAAGCGCCGTGACTGGAACACTTTTGGGCAATACCTCCGCAACCACCGCCCTCCTCTCTCTCTCTCCCGCTGCAGCGGGGCCCACGTCCTGGAATTCCTCCGCTACCTTGACCAGTTCGGGAAAACCAAAGTCCACTCTCCACTTTGCCCTTTCTTTGGTCACCCTAACCCTCCAGCTCCATGCCCCTGCCCTCTTCGCCAAGCTTGGGGAAGCCTTGATGCTCTCATCGGACGCCTCCGAGCAGCCTTTGAGGAACACGGAGGCAAGCCTGAAGCAAACCCTTTTGGTGCTAGAGCTGTTAGGCTTTACCTACGTGAGGTTCGTGATTCACAGGCCAAAGCCAGAGGCATAAGTTATGAGAAGAAGAAAAGAAAGCGACCCCCTCAAGCACCACCTCTTCCACCTCCTAATGGAAATCAAAATCAGTAAAAAAAAAAAAGAACAAGTAAAGACGTGATCAACGAGCTGCATGGGAAAAGAACACGGTTTTTCCAATGTTTCTTCTTTTCTTTATTTATGTTATCCTATCTTAATTAGTTTAATCTGCAATATCGTATCATGTTGTCTTAAATGCCTTTCCCTTTTTTTTTTTGTCAGGTATTGCTCGCTCCATTAATGGATATTACCCTAAATCTTTATTAGCATTTCTTCTTTTTTACTATGATTAAAACAGTAGTTGTTTTTAATTATAGTAATAGTAGCAGTGTATCTAGTATTTGTAGTAATTCAGATCTATTTGCGACTTAACATCCAATTTGTAATTGATATGTACTTTTGATAAGCCATTTATGACAAGTTATAGATTTGCAGATCAAGTTGTGTGTCTTTTCTTCAATGGTAAAATAAAATCTTTTAATTTTGTTTTTTTTTCCTCAAAAAACTTATAATATTGGTCATGGGATTGGGGGTATTGGCATCAGGCACTAAAAAGGCTGTGCAAAGAACATGTGTCAGGTGAGTTAAAGAAGCATTCCTGTTTTAGTATCCTTTATGTTGGTTGTTTTTCCTTCTTTCTTTCCTTTGCTTGCTTGTTGCTGTTGCTTTTCTTTCTGTTTGACAAAAAGATTGCTGCTTGCATGGATATACAAGTGGTCAAGGAAAAGACTAAGCCAAAGCAGCATCAAACAGTTAAGTAAACAGTAGTTTATATCTTAGGCTTTTAGAAATATGGGAGGTTTCCATTCTTTAACAGCAAAAATCCCATTAGGTTAAGGTAATCTTCACAGATATCAGGCTGAAATAACGCGGATGGGTCTTTTTTCTTGAATAGTCTATGGCTAGTTGCCTGATTTAGATATTGGGCAAATCCATCTCCCATTTCTCCATATCTGTCATGTCTGCTCCTTTAAGGGGAGATATTTATTTTATTAAATTAGGTGGAAGTCCATCGTCACATGAACCCTAACAAACAGTGAAATCTTCTGAGTTTCTTCACTCAAAGCAAAGATGATTTGATATGGATTTTGAGGAGACAACAAAATGTCTAATTCTAGATTATCATATCTGGAATCACACCAATGTTGAATAAGTAGCTAGCTTACCACAACTTGGATTAGGTTAAAGATCTATAGTAGAGTACTCTGATATGACAGGCAACAGATATGAGACTAGCTATTTCCCTCCATATATCAAAACTCTCTACATTTAAGTTCTAACCAGTGTATTTGGAAAATTGCTTGATTCATATCTATAATTTGCTGATCTGTTTATTTTCATGAAACTTTGACTGCTTATCTCTTTCTTTTCTCATTGGTGTTTTCTTTTCCATGATTAATTCATAAGATATTCTGTGAAGGAAAGTTGTCCTGTCAGAAACATGTTTTTGTCATGGGTTTTATCTATGCATTTTAGAGATAAGGCTAATGGATCAAATATATATAGCTGAGATGATGAATTGATGATAGCTAGTGATGTTTTTATTCTGTTCTATCTATAATGAAAACCAATTTTCCCCTATAGCTAGGTTTTCTTGGATTAAATTGAGGGTTTTTCTTGGATTACATTGAGGTATGTCCATTTGAATATATAGGGTTTTATGAATATATACAAGAAAAAAAATTAAGAATGACACTATTGAAAAAATAAAATGATTGCCATGGAATTTTATATTAGTTCTTGACAGTTGGTTTGCCATACCTATCAAAATATTCAGTTGAACCTTTATTACAAGAGACTATTATTTTGCTAGACCGGCCATTATTAAATGATATATTTAAGATTCTGCTGGGACCAAATCTGATTGCATTTTGAATTTTGTGGTGCATATATAGAATCAATCCAAGCATTATAAGTAAAATCATTGAAATTCCTGGGTGCAAAGATATTACTATAATTGCTTGTTTGATTTTAATTTGTTGTGGAAGTATGAATTTTGTTGCTTATGGGATGAGAAGAGTAGATATTGATGCTAACTCATATAGAATTCACATTGGATTACAAGCCAAGTTATCAAAATTGTTTGCTTCAGTCTATGTCTATGTATGGCTCATATTAATTCGTGGATCTTAAGTTATCATGAAATAATGGAAATGCATGCCTTCATGTCCATTAATGTTGAAACTGAAAGGTTAAAATTAGAAATGATAATAACTAATTAACTTTTAATTAAGCCTAATTAAAGATTAAAAAAGTACTTAGATTAGATTAGAGCTTATATTACATTGCAATCCTAACCTGATTTTTTAGCAACAATATGAACCAATCAAAATGACAGAAAATTAATTTTGGAACTGAATATGGATTAATCAAAATGAAATCTAATCAAGTTCCAAAAAAGATAAATTTAAATATACATATATGCTACATACCATTAACTGTTTGGTATGGGTGATCACTTTAAAAATTACAGTAATTTACATATAATGATTAGATAATTATCTTTGATAAGCACTCGATGATCAAATGTGATCATGATTTTGGATCACTGAGAGCAATTAAATTACTGCTTAATAAGATAATATAATTTTTGTATAAAAGAATGAAAAATTTTTATCATGGAAGTGAAGTAATGTATAAAATTAACAATAATTAATTTTATTCATTTAACATGTGAATTGAAAACCTTATGCATTTTAAATTTTTAATTATTTTATATTATAAATTTTTATATTTTCGAACTGATATTTATGGTAACAAGTTTAAAAATATTATGTGTTTTTTTAATTTTTTAATATTTTATATATAATATAATTTTTTTCTTTTATTATCAATTTAATAGATTAGTTTTATTTTCTAATTTACAAATCTTTTTATATAATTTATATTCTAAAAATTAATTTACTTATCAATAAATATATTTCTTAATTTAATAACTTAATTATATTTTATTATAAAATAAATAAATATTACTAATATTTTACAAATTGTTATCTTTAAACAACCTTAAAATTATTAATGCAACTATTAAAATATGCATGATTATTTTCGTATTTTTAAATAAAATAATTTTTTATTTTTAATGATATCAAACACAATGATCTTTAATTTTTATAAATTAATGATTGTTAATCAAATAAAATAATTTCAAATCATGAGTGTTGAGATCATTTTGGTAAAAAGATCATTTCGGTTAAACACAATGATCTTTAATTTTTATAAATTAATGATTGTTAATCAAATAAAGTAATTTCAAATCATGAATGTTGAGATCACTTTGATAACAAGATCATTTCGGTTATTATATTACCATAATAATTTTGTAAAAAATACCAAATACTACTTAATTGATGGATAACTCTTATATATATGTCTATTGATATGAGAACTAATCAAGTATAATTTACAAAGATTTAGTGCTTGGACATACAATTAATGTTAAATCTAACACTAACTGACAATGCCATTAAAAGTCTTTTTAGCAGCAAAAATTTAAACATTTCTTATGAATTATGATGAAATATCCATCATAACATAAGTTTCCATCATAAGGTATAATTAATAATTCATCATAAGAATAATATATCATGCTCATTGACATCTATATATATATATATATGGCATTTCTCATTATTTGCACAAGGTAATTATTAATATTTCATCATAATAACAATTACCACTTTTTCCCCTCTTTATCCCTGACAATTTTACATTTGAAAAAAAAAATTAACTGGAAGGAGTACTACTTAAAGCAATCAAAGACAAAGAGACATCAATGGGCCATTAATTCAGTGATATATTAAAATTTATTTTAAAATTGAAGATTTGGAATTGGAAACCTAATTATAACCTAAAAATCCATTTAAAAAAAAAAAAAAGAGAAAAGGGTTGCCTACCTAGTTGACCGTTACCTATAAATGTAGAAATTGAATTATAGGAAAACAATGGGGTTGGTCTTCAAGATCCAAAGACAGCTAAAATTGAATTGGTAATACAAGAAAATTAAGAAAGAATTTGGAAATGCATATTATAAAATAAAATAGGAATCCAATTCATTGAACCTAATATTTGAGGGGTCCCATTTGAGGACTTAATTTGGCAAGAAAGTGACACTTCCAAATTCATACAAATGCAATATGGGAAGACGGCCAATTTCATTCCACTGATATAGTACTATATATACTAAAATATAAATAATTGTATATTTTTAAATGATTTTTTTTTATAAAGTAGAATGACACTAAAGGCCAATAAAAAGTTGAAAGCAATATCAATCAATGATTGACCGATGGTATGTCTCCAATTTAATTAATTGTTTAAATTCATCAACTTGATTAATTTTCTTTAGAATACATAATATATATTTACTTAATTATTGTGACAAAATTTTTATGTTTTGAATAAAAAATTAATTACCATCTCTTTATTAAATATTGCAATAAATTATAATTTCAAAAAAAAATATATTGCACTAAATTATAAATTAAATTTTTTTATAATAAACCATCAATTCACTCAGTCTCATGTGTGTTGGTTTTTTTTTTTTTTTTTTAAGGTGGGGAGGGGTGTAAATAATTAAGAAAGGCATATAAATCTATGGTTATAATAAAGATTTCAACTCTTTTCTTTATGACTTCATGAGTGAAGGTGTAAGATTTCGACTCCTTCAATGTATCTCATAATCATTTACAAACTAATTTGTGATTGCTACGATGCACGATTTTTTTATATTTTTACACATAAATAAATTATCATCATATAATAATATAAAATATTTTATATCAATGTAAAACTAATTAGTTTGACATTTTTATAGCTTTAAGTATGATTAATATTATAACAATCCAACCATTGAAAATTTTCAAATTAATTTACTTGTACCTATTATGCATATAAAATTTTAAATCAATAAGATATCTTTATTATATTAATCCAGATATATATTTAATATTCGAAAATTTTTATTACAAAACAAATAGTTAGACATTTTAATTAACTCAAAATTTGATATGCATGATTTACATAAATACATGAGTCTTGTGGATCCATGAATACATGAATACATGATTTACAAAGCATAGCATCCAACAGTTTGATTAACCAAATATAAATTATATAAAAAGTTATGAAAAAATGCAAAAGTAAAATAATTTTGTGGATCTCTCCCATATATATATATTTATTTATAAATTAAACTTTAAAAAAATTTAAATATTCAATTAAAAATATTGTTAAACAAAAAATAAATAAATATCTTGAGATGAAATTTTGCATAGACTCAAATTTGTTTCATTTTTAATATGTCTTCATGTTTTGTAAAATATCAATACAACTTTTCATGTTTACTTTAATCAACTAAAAATAAGTTAATTTTATTTAAAATATCTATAATTTTATATCTTAGAATAATATTGTTTGGTAAAATTTCA